TCCTTGTCTGGTGGCCCCAACCTCAATCAATCAATGAAATGTTATTTGTGAAAGTTTGAGTTTTATGTTTACAACAACCAAAGATTGCATAAGTCGCTGAACAACATTAAATTCAGAGTTTGGAAAAAAATAAATGCAAAAACATAAAAGCGGCAAGTAAAACATCAAATTATCGCAAGACTCTTGACTGCTTGCCTCAACAACCTCTGCATCCTTCTACCTATGTCATCACTGTTTCTCCTCTGGACATGCCCAAACCATGCAGTCCGTCCTGTGTGTGCAGGTGAACGTGAACATCCTTGAGGCTCAGAAGCTTGTTGGTGTGAACATCAACCCTGCAGTTTTTGTCAGGGTTGGCGGTCAGAAAAAGAACACTGCGACGCAGAAATCCACCAACTGTCCGTTCTACAACGAGGTAAATCTGACATTTAGCAGTGTTATAACAGCGTTATAACATAATCTTAATAAGTCTGGAAGAGGAGTCAGAATCTGTCGGTTTCCAGGTGAAAAATGAAACCGAGTGCAATGAAACAAAAGAGTGTTAGACCTCAGCGCAGAACATCTGGAGTAAAGGTGCTTCATTCTCCCTGACATCAAACTCTTCCACAGAAAACAAGTTGTTTCTTTTCTCTTTTTCTGCTTCAGAATTTCCAGTTTGAGTTTCAGGAAGCTCCACAGATCTTCTTGGATAAAGTCATAGAAATAAAGGTTTGTTTGTTATTTTAACTCTTCCTATTGCTGTTGCCATGGTGAGTGTGTGTGTGTAGTCATCATCATCACCTGTGGTGTTTCACCACCACTCAGGTGTTCCACAGACGGACTCTGGCCTTCCTGATGACCCACATCGGGACCTTTAAAATCGACATCTCCACTGTCTATAATCAGCCAGGTAAGAGAGCTGCCCGTGCTGTCTGTACTCTGGTTCTCGCCGACTCAACGGCCTCTTTGCTGCTCCAGATCAGCGCTTTTACCAGAGGTGGGCTCCTCTCACCGACCCAGCAGACACCAGGTCGGGGGTAAAGGGTTACGTCAAGGCTAGCCTGAGTGTCCTGATGAAGGGAGAAGCTCTACGGATGCCCAGTCTGCCTCCGACCACCTCGTCAGTGGACAGCGAGGACATAGAAAAGTCAGTCATATTAACTGTTTGAGTTTAGTTTCGTTCACTCGATTCAACAAAGCCATCATTAAGTTACAAACATATACTTATGTTGACCCATAGATATACAATAAGTCAAATATGGAGTGAATGGATGAATAATATAAAATCTGGAGCATCGGCTGTTCTAAAACAGTTTTCACTTTATTTAAGAGTCTTTTACGTTAAATTCAAACATCTCACTAACCACATCTCCCTGTTTTGATGTCATTCCCTGTACAAAACATATCAACAAATAAAATAAATTAACATTTTAGAAACCTTTGGGCCCAGCACTTAACCCTGGGGGACATCATATTTATTCAGTAGAAGATCTCAGGTTATACTTTTAATAACAGAAGCAGACAAACACTTCTAACTCTGCATCATTTAACAAATGGTGACGGGTGAATGTTAGCTGAACTGAACTCTGGTTTACGTGGGAAAATAACTGGTCTGTGTTTTGTGGACTGAACACTTTTTATTTAATTTATGCTTTTTGTAGCAGCCTGAGAATTTGCGTGCATCAAAATATCTCTAAACTTTTAATGAAATATATGCAGTTCATGAGTTTTTGCATAAAGTCTAAATAAAAGAAATATAAAATCACACATCAGTGCATGGACATGTTACAGGCGTTTCTTCTGCTTCTGCTCTTAAATGTTGTTTTTCTAAGGCATTTGCTGCTTCCTCGCGGTATGCCTTCTGAGCGCCCGTGGGCTCGGTTTCGTATCCGTATTTACCGGGCCGAGGGTCTGCCAACGATGGAGGCGGGGCTAATGGCCAAGATGTCCGTCACTGATCGGGCAGTTTTCATTGACCCCTATGTACAGGTGACCTTCGCAGGACAACAGGTATGTACTAACGTGTGTCTTTGGTCTCAGAACTTCAGGGGTCTTTGGTTTTAGGTGAAAGTCTATTTTCTGACTGGTTTTAGGGTGAGACGTGTGTCGCCAGCTCCACCAACTGCCCAGTTTGGAATGAAGAGATCTCCTTCATTGAGCAGTTTCCTCCTCTGGCTCAGCGAATCAAAGTGCAGGTTCTTGATGATGCACGGATGGGCGACATAGCCTTGGCAACCCATTTCCTAGACCTTCAGCAGATTTCTGACCCGACGAGGAACGGTGAGTGTTGGGTAAAAAACTGATTTTCCCCTTCTCTTGTTAATAATGTTGTTCTTTCAAACAGAGTTCATTAGCCTTATTCACATTTAAAGCGGTAAATAGAGTATTAGATGCATGGAAGATGATTTTGTCTGGGTACCATCTGGTGTTATTATTCTGCTCCTGCTGCAGGGAAATTCGACCTTGTAAGTCTGCAGTTCTGTTATCACAAAAAGCTCCCTAGTGAAGTCCAGACGGAGCATTTCTCTGAACCTGGGAAAGTTTTGCTTTCTGTGAAGGGGATGGGTGTGGTCATCTTTAATGTGTGTGTGCTATGTCATTTTTGAATAAAACCTTTTGATGAGCTTCTGCTTGTTGAGAGAGTTAGCAGACCTCCCATTTGGTGTGCATCTTTTTTCTCTCCGGTTTTGCAAAATCTGATTGTTGATTATTGGTGTTTATTGGTAAATGATATAGATAAACCTAATATCTCTAAGCCCCCTTGTGTGTGTTGGACTTTCTTTGAGGTACGCCTGGATTGAATTAAATAAAATACCCAACATTGAGTCTCTGAATCGACATTTTCTCAAATATTATTTGTAAAAAATAAAAGATTGGACATAAACTTTAACCTGACTACAGAATTTTACGAGTGAAAATTTCCTGTCTGTTTTCTGCAGGATTCAATCCAACTTTTGGTCCAGGCTGGGTGAATCTTTATGGTTCTCCACAGAACTCCACCCTTGGAGACGTCCACCAAGTAAATCACACAACACCAAACAAAGCATTTGAAGCCTTCCTGCAGTGGTTTGCGATCACTTATCTCCATGTTAAACCAACTTTAGTTTTGTTGCCTTTGACTTTAAGATATCCAAAATAATCCCAGGTACCAAACCCACAGACCGTTTTATTGACTAAAACGAGATTCACTAAATAATCAGTTTTACAAACATTCAGTTAAAAAAAACTGTAAATTTGCAGAGTAATCACAAAAATGCTTATTTAAAAAAAATCATTTTTCTGCATAACTAGACTATAGTTACTCATATATTTATCTTCAGGCTTTGAACGAGGGATTGGGTGAAGGGATCTTCTATCGAGGGCGAATCCTCCTGGCTCTCTGCATGGATGTGTACTCTTCCCCCTCAGCCATCTCCACAGAGCCCCGGTCTGCAGCTGCAGCAAAGGTGACAGCTGCTCTGCTTTTTACCTGATAAACGCACCGGTAAGGAAGGAGCCACACCCATTTATCATTAAATGGCCTGAATTTGTAAAACACCTTCTTGGGGATCTAATACCCCCCCCAAAGCGCGGCACAACACAGTCATTCACACACACATTCACACTCTGATGGTGATGATGAGCTACGGTGTAGCCACAGCTGCCCTGGGGCGCACTGACAGAGGCGAGGCTGCCGAGCACTGGCGCCACCGGTCCCTCAGACCACCATTAGCAGGCAAGGATGGTTAGGTGTCTTGTCCAAGGACACAACAGCAGCATTCTCTGGTGGGAGCCAGGATTGAACCTGCAACCTTCTAATTACTGGACAACCTGCTCAACCTCCTGAGCTGCTGCTGTCCCATTTAGTTACTATCTGTGTGCATTCAGTATCCTTATCACTTCTCGTGTGGACTTTGTTGTCCCCGAAGGTCAAAGGAGCTCTGGGGAAATTTGGACTGAAGAAGAAAAAGAGCAGCAAGACAGAGAAGATGGAAGGTTTGTTTGTTATGAGGGTTCTGGTGTTGTTCATTAAAAGTCTCTGGGAATCTTCAATTCTTCACTCTTCAAACTCTTTAATCAAAATGCTGGTTTGCTGACTTGTTGCTGCAGCAGCATCTCCATCTGAGAGTGGATTGGCTGATGAGTCTGGAGAGGCTGGAGTTGAGGTGCCAGAGTCTGTTACCGTGGAAATCGAGGAGCTCCATCCTCTGCCTGAGGTCAGTGCCACTATAGCCTCTCAGTTCAGCCAGGCTACAGTAAACTTCATCTCATGGGACAATACAGCTCAATGTAAAAGCGCGTTGGCTGTATAGGGGACTTCTGCTTGTTCTCAATTCCTTCTTCCCCTCTCCCTTTTCCCAGGGTTACCTGGGTCAGAAGGAGGAGTTTCTGCTGTTTTCATCTCTGTTTGAAGTCACAATGATTGACCCATCCGTAGCAACAAAACCACTGACCTTTGAACTCTCAATAGGTAGCATCTTATATTGTGATTATGACACAAATCAAACACTCACAACACTTATTTTTTTACCTGTAGATCTTTTTTTTTGGAGATTAAATCAGATTTTATAAAATAACTAAAACCTGGGCTCGGGTTTTCATTTTCTACTCATTTACAGATATGGAGTGTAATTTTCCTCCTGAACAAAACCATCTGATGTTTCACATTTCATTTCTAACATCTGACCTAAAAATTCTTGTTTTTTCATGTATTTGATAGGAAATTATGGGAAGGCTGTGGGAGTTGGAAAATTCAAGAAAAGCCAGAACAGAGAGGAGCTGAGGAGGAGCAGGGAAGACCTGACAGAGGAGACTCATGGTCTGCTGGAGTCGGAGGATGAGCTAGACAGAGAGGAGATGGAGAACTCTGAACCTGAGAATAAGTCTGTGTCTGCCGCCATGCGACCTCAGTCCACTGACTACGACAGGGGAGTACCAGATTTTTGAAGTGCTCATTGATTTAGTTTCACCTGTTCTGCAAGAATAATCCTCTGCCAGGTAAATTCCTAAAGCTGTCCCTAAAATCCTCATGGACATTCCTTAGTTTTGCAAATCAAACAAATCTCCAGATGCAGGGATCACTGGGATTAGCCTGCTGGGTGACGTCTTCTCTAACTGGGAGAAGCTTCTTCTGATCTCACCTGTGGGGTGCCACAAGGTTCCCTCCTCGGCGCCTTATTGTTCTCCTTCCACCTGCTACCCCAGGGTGCGATAATTTAGAACCAAAAGCTAAGTTTTTATTTATATGCTGATGATTGTTAAATCTGACTGTTCCCTCATGAAAGAGGGTTGAAATGGTGCTTTTAAGAGTCCCCTGGTACACGTCTAGCTGGCTAACAGCTTCTTGAAACACAACAAAGAGAAAACAAAGGTCATTGTCTTTTTCTAAGTGCTTCAGGCCCAAATAAATGTTTCTGGCTTTGAGCAGCTGGCTCTATTCTAGGAGGACTGGTGGTTGACTTGGAGGTTAAACTTGACGGGTCTTGAGCTACAGAACCACACAAACGAAGTGGTATGCTTGTGTTTCTTTCATCTCTGTCGTCTGGCTAAAATTAAGCGGTTGGTATCACGAGCCTGCGTAGTGCTCTGTGCGTTTATCACTTCGTGCTTGGACTACTCCCCGTGCAGAGGTGCTAACCAGTCAGCAGGCCAGTGATTTTGATGAGCACCAAATGCCGTGAACATATTACAGCTGATCTGGTCTCCCTTCACGAGCCCCCCATCCTCTACAGAATTCAGCTTAAGCTCCTCGCCTTGGTCTTTAGTTGCCTACAGGTCAGTGTTCTTGACTGACTTTCCGGTTTGCCATGCTCCCTCTGGTGAGCTACGCCCACCACATCATGACCTGTCCATGGTCCTGAGGATTGGGGGGGTCGCATGTTTTCATACTTGGCCCCCAGTCTCTGGGACGAGCTTCCTCTCTTTGCACCAACGTCAGATTTTTACAGCCGTCTGGAGAATTACAGTTATACCTTTGCCAGCACTTGACCTGACTGTTTTCTTTTTAAGTTGCGTGCTTTTAGTTTTCACTCTCACCTTCTTGTGACTTTGTTTCTTATGAATGTTTTATCTACTGTGCTTGTTATTTCATGCAATGTTCAGCGGATGCCTTTTGATGCTGATGATGCTGATGTGAGAGTTGTGGACCGCCCAGTCACTGTGTTCCTTTAGGGCAGAGCTACACCTTTATTGTGAGATGTTGTTAAAGGATGATGCCTACATTACTACACACGTTGTTCCCATTTGTTATTGTTCTCATTGTTTATTTTCAGGTCTTTCCAGTGTCTTCAGCTCCAGCCTCCTTCAGTCAGACTCAAACCTTGTCTGTTTGTTTGGAGCCAGTTTGAAGATCACTGCTTTCGTCTCTATCAGGCTAACTGGCTTAGCAAGATGGCTGACAGGCTGGTAAGAGTCGGCTCCATTTATTTATTTAAGAAATGCCCCAAACCACTTGCTGGATGATCGTGTGTTGTTTAGGAGATCGGTCTGGACGAGGTGGAAATGCTGCTGAGGAGGCCCAAGAGTCGAGCAAAGGAGCGCTTGGTTCAGGTGCTACTGGAGCTGCTGGCAAGCTGCAAGTAAGAGCCCTCATGAAATGATTCTTGAGAGAGTGTTTAGCTGGATTTGACCTTGATTTTTCTTCACGACCTCTTCTTTTATTTTGCAGACAGTTCAGTGCTTTTTCAGATAGAAGATCTCAGTCTCGCCCCAACAGCCTGGACAAGTGCAGAAGAGGCTTCATCAAAAAGAATCTGGTGAGTTTGTTCTCAGCTGCGTTTTAAAACCTGCCTGTTTGTGTCTGTCTGTCTGTCTGTCTGTCTGTCTGACTGACTGTCTGTCTGACTGACTGACTGACTGATTGTCTACAGGTCCTGTTGGCCAGACAGGCAATCAGAGCCAGGCGGAGGATCAGCAGGAAAACAGCCAAACAGCGCTTGGTGGATAGCAGGAAAATCCTAAAGAAACTCCGCCTACTGGCTGTAGAGGTCAGAGGTCGTAGAGTAAATCACCCTGAAGGTCGTCAGAACAGTCCATGTTGAGTAAAATCTGATGTATTTCCCTCCAGCCTCAGAGCACCCTCCCAGATGCTTTTCTTTGGTTGCTTAGTGGAAGCAAGCGACTGGCCTACGTCAGGATTCCGGCTCACTCCATCCTCTTCTCATTGGTTGAGGAGCAGAAGGGGCGGGACTGCGGTCGCCTCACCACCCTCTACATGAAGGTGAGTCATCCACATCCTTGTAATAAACTCCACAAGCTTCTCAACGTTAAACGTTCTCTTTTCAATAAAGCTCTGTGTTTTTAGTCTCCAGGATGTGCAGCAAGTGAGATCTTTGCAAAGGTGGAGGTCTACCTGTGGCTTGGTTCAGTCAAGTACAGTAAAGAGGCCATTAACGGCCTGCCAGAGGAGTTCACACCTGTATACGAGGAAGAGGAGGAGGCGCAGAGGAGGCTGGTCCCAGTGGAGGCGCAAAGGATGTTACCTGTTAGCCTGTCCTGCGAGGGTGAGTCCACTGACGTCTTTAACAGGAGGACATCCAAATCGGAGGGTTTTCAGATGACCCGTTTAGGTTTTGGTGAATTCTGTATCTTCTGGCTGCAGACAGCAGATACTTCCAGCTACGATGTCACCTGTATCAGGGGCGTGGCCTGATGGCTGCAGATGATGATGGCCTATCAGATCCTTTTGCAAAGGTGGTCTTCTCCACACAGTGCCAGGTCACCAGGGTACGTCGTTTTACCGTTCCTTCAGTAAGTCGCCATGGTAACCTAAACTAATGGTGTGTGTGTGTGTGCGTGTGTGCGTGCGTGTGTGTGTGTGTGCGCGCGCAGGTGTTGTCGGACACCCTGTCCCCCTCCTGGTGTGAGTGCTTGTTGTTTGACAGAGTTCTGCTGGAAGGAACAAAGGAGCAGCTTCAACAGGACCCGCCCCTCATCATCATCAACATCTACGACCATGACGCCATGGTAACGCCTTTTTTAGGTTTGGTTCCCTTCTCAGCAGTGGTGGAAGAAGTGCTTGATTTCTTTTACTTAGGGTAAAGTACTTAATTTGAAGTGGAATTGTCCAAGTAGTTTAATACTTATGTAAAAGTATTAAAGTATGCATTTTTAAATGTACTTAAAAGTAGTTTAGTTTAGATTGTTGAAAGTAAAAGTAAACATTTAAAAATGCCTTCAGTGGTTGTAGAAGTGTGGTGGTGTGGGGCACAAATGATAGTACTAGTACCTTTGGAGTTGCAGTACGACACGGACAAAGGAGTATGCAGCTTGTCCCCATTGGACAGGGGGTGGGGCAGGGGTTGGACTAAACACAGAATACAGAAAGGTTGTACTCAAGTACGCAACTACGTATTTGTATTTGATTACACTCCGTCACTGCCTCTCAGCACATCTAAGAATCGACTTTAGTCATTTTGTGCATGTTTGTGTTTGTTCAGGGTCCTCCGAAGCCTTTGGGTCGAGCTTTTGCTGAGCCGGAGTTTAAAACTGTGGAGCAGCTCTACGAAAAGCCCCGCCTTCAATTTTATGACATCATCAGAGGACGAGTTCCTGCAGGAGAGCTGCTGGCCGCCTTTGAGCTCATTGAGCTCGACTACTCTGGGTTTGGAGAGGTGGAATATATCAATCCATATTTGCACCGTCTCTGTTTAGGTGGTGACCGTGGGGTTGGATGCTAATTCATCAGTAGATTCATGTTTACCTGCAAGTTTGCTGCTACTGTGAAGTTTTGGGTGTCTGACAACCTCAGTCCTAATAATATCTTAATAAAAAACAAAAACTTTATTTTTAAGTCATCGCTACGAGTAAAGCTAAACCAAATTCAAGCAGTTAAACGGAAGATGCTCTCTTCCCTTCTCAGCCCCACCTCCCCATCAGCGTGGACCCTCAGGAGCTGACATTCGATGAGGAGCAGAGATCCTACGTCATCCCAGAGGGAGTCCGGCCTGTTCTGAAAACCTTCAGAATCGAGGTGACGCTCACGCTCACCCTTTCAGGTTGTTAGGACAACGGCCCTTCAGTGCGTTTCTGTTGTGTCTGCAGGTGCTGTTCTGGGGTCTACGGGAGCTGAAGAGGGTCCATCTGTTCGAGGTAGAGCGTCCTCTCGTCAGGGTGGAGTGTGCGGGACAAACGCTGGAGTCTGAGGAGATCCAGAGCTTCAAGGCCAACCCAAACTTTAAAGAGGTGGTCCGGTACATCGACGTGGTCAGTTTGTATCATCAGTGAGCTAAATGCTTCAGGAACAGAGAAAAGCAGGGATAAAATGCACTGTTCTGTTTTGGTCGTCCTACATCTGACCAGGAGCTGCCGGAGCAGTCCTACCTCCACCCTCCTCTGACCGTGTTTGTGGTGGAGCATCGGGCATTTGGTCACCTGGCTTTGGTTGGCTCTCATGTGGTTCAGAACCTCATGGACTATGCCCCACATGATCTTGAGGGGGAAGAGGAGGAGGAGGAGGAAGAAGAGCTAAAACCTAAAGGTGAGATAATTAAAACAGAAGAAATTAGAAGACAACAACCAAAAAAATAGCTGGGGCTTCATCAAGAAAGCGATTAAAGTAAAACATGATATTTGAATCACAGATGTTTGAAACCAGATGTGGAAGCAAACTATAGCCCCTAGTACAGTCTGTTAGCAGTTCCCAGATGTTTCTGATCCCAAACGGTCTTGCAGACAGTATTCATGTGCTTCTCTCCAGTGAGGCAGAATTCAATGAAGATCAACCCGCTGGCGACGGTAAAGAGCATCGGACTCAGCGGCCTGTCAGTCACACAGTCAAAGATTCCCATAAAACCCATCAAGATGATGAACGTGAGTCCATTTAACCTCCTTCTGCAGACATCAAAACAAATCACAGTGCACTGCCATCACTGACTCTTTGTGGTGGGTCTGCATAAAGGCGCCCCTGAAGAAGCTGAATAAAATTAGAGGAGAGGAGCTGGAGGAGGAGGAGCCTGAGAAGGAGGAGTTGGACTGGTGGTCCAAGTACTACGCCTCCCTGGAGGAGCTGGAAAAAAAGGTGGGACACAGAAGAGCTGATTCAGGACAAGCGTCTTCACATGACTACGCTTATCTAAGACATTTTATAAAGATGTATTTTGAAAAGGCCGCCTTTTTGATTTTCATCCAGTCTTACACCAGACTTTATGCACAAATGTTGTTTTTATCTTATATGTATATTTTTTAAGTTTGTTTTCATTTATTCACAATTAAAAACAAAACACATAACAGGTTTGCGAAAACAAAAAATGAAAGAAGGAACAGAAAGAAGCAAAACTTATGTTACCTGTTCCCCTTAACCAAAATAAATACAAATGACAACAAAGTTATTATAGTTAAAAAATTCATGAGTGAGGTGCATCTGTACCCTGTCACAAAAACAGTGTGTTTTTGTTTCTTTGACCTCTTCTAAACCATGAAAGTGAAATTATTTTAGTGAAGTCATGTGTCAGCACAGTGCCTCAGAGTTCAATGAGACGCGACGACTGGAGGAGGAAAGAGAAAAACCAGCCCCAAACTCTCTCAAACAGCATCTTAAATGTACCCGTTGTAACATGCATGTCTACCTTCATGAGTTCATCACGTTAATGAGGTCACGACGTCAGGTGGTTTGTGCTTGACCACCATGTCGTCGCGAAAGGGGGGAATGTAACGTGAGGAAATATGGGTTTTCTGTGCCAAAGGTCATTTGACTCGGCTGGGTCGCTGAGAACTTTCACCCACAGATTAAGACCTGAACGCCAGCGAGTCTGGGAGAAACCATAACATCTGAACACCTGCAAAGCCAGAAGATGTGTTCCCATGGAAAAGCTAGTCATAATAGAGTCTTACGCTTCCGTTGTTTATTAATGTTAAAATAATCATTTTACCATTTTACTCATTATAAATGTGTTTTAATCAAATGAATGATTATTATGCTTTGGGTAATCATAATAACTAATGAATCAATGCTAAATTAAATAATGTTCTGAGGATGTTTAGTGGTGACCTTCACACACTCAAACATCCACACACACACACATTCTCACAGTAAACTCCAAAACACATCTGCTGACGCACACGTTTTGCTTTGAGAAGAGAAAGGTTTTTGGTCATTTTTTCAGTTCATGATTCAGTTCGTGCTTGACAACAAAAGAGAGAAGACCTGAATAAACGCTAAAGGGGTTCACGGAGCCTATCGGCTCACCCCCCCCCCCCCAACCCCCCCCCCCGTTATTCCTGTCAGCCAGACAGGAATAGCAGAATTGCAACAACTAACGCGGACTCGCCTCGAGTCCTTTGATTTCTGAGTAAACTAAACTTAAGAAAGCGCATCTGAAAACGCTTTACCATCAACGTGTACCGAGGACAACTCTGGACCAGTTCGTGGCGCATCTTTGTCTTCTTTGCCAGCCAAGGTGACGTCCCGGGTCCAACAGAGGGTCCGAATACGGTGAGGCATTCCACGACAGATAGCGTTTTGATGCATCTTTTGCAACAAAACCTAAGTTTATTCAAACCATCACTTTTCACTCAGACACCTGTTTCTTCTTGAAGCAAAATCAGATGCACACACGCACTCAGCTCACCTCATGTTCAATCTTCACACATTCACCACAAGGTCTATTTGAGCAAGCATATCAACTGTTAAAGATTGTCCCACAAAGTTGCCAATGTTGATTGTCATTTCCATGTTTGTCATTTCAAAAATCATTAGTTTAGTTTGAAGAATTAAAACTTTTAACTTTCAAACTTGCTTCTTCATTGAACTGAAACACAGACACACGGATATTATCGTCAGTTTATCGATGAAAACAACCTTTGAGTCTTCTTAAAACTATACAATTTGGTTATTAATTTAATAAAATTGATATCACAAATTAATATGTAGAATGGTTCCTCTTTCATAAAAGAGCATAAACCATAACGCTACACCGTCTAAGAAAAGAGCAGACATAAAACTGTTAATAGTTTTAGATTGTGTTATTTTCTTCATGAAACACCTCAATGGTTCGCTGGGTTTGTTTGATGTGTTCATGTCTGCAGGCTGCTGAGGTAGAACAGATGGAGGAACAAGCAGAAACAGGTACAGTTCCACTCAGAACTGGAGTAAAAGCTAGTTTTCATTTATAATTTATATCTGAGTGTCAAAACTCTTCTGATTAAGATGTCGTTAGATGATGGGGTCAGACAAAGGATTGTTTCACATCTTGTTTAATTGACCCAAAAGCCACTGATGTGGTTGTCAAGGGTTCAAATGTGAGTTTAAAGGTCGATATTAAGTGTATATATATTTTTACCTTGAACAGACGGAGTGCATCTGACCATGGCGAACATCGAAGAGGAGGAGGAGGAAGCTGTGGTGGTGGAGATCGAGCCTCCAAAGAGGAAGAAGATCGCCACACTGAAGGTTTCAAAATCTCGTGAAGTTGTTAATTCAATTCAATTCAATTATTCAAATTCAATTATTTATATAGCGCCAAATCACGACAAGAGTCGTCTCAAGGCACTTCACATCATAAACATTCCAATCCAGGTCAGTTCATTAAGCCAATCAGAAAAAAATGTTTCCTATATAAGGAACCCAGCAAGTTGCATCAAGTCACTGACTAGTGTCAGTGACTTTACAGCAATCCTCATACTAAGCAAGCATAAAGTGACCGTGGAGAAGAAAACTCCCTTTTAGCAGGAAGAAACCTCCAGAGGATCCTGGCTCAGTATAAGCAGCCATCCTCCACGACTCACTGGGGATCGAGAAGACAGAGCAGACACACACACACTCACACACACACGCGCACACACACACACACACACACACACACACACACACACACACACACACACACACACACACACACACACACACACACACACACACACACACGCACGCACGCACACACCAAGCAATGTGTCCATGGTTACACAGTGATTGCTTAGTAAATATTCTATTTGGCGAGAGATAAACTTTATTGTATTTATCCTAGTGAATCTATTGTTAAATGGGTAAACTAGTAGTAGCAGCACATCCAACGTCAAGGAAACAAAAAGTTATTATCAGGAGAGGGAGAAAGTTTAAGTGGTTAGCAGCAGTGTGCTAGACGATGGCCCCCTCCATGAGGCCACCACAGCTCAGCAGAACATCATTGTAGCTTCTTCTGGGGAGAAAAACACTTACAGAAAAATAAAGCTAATAGCTGAAGTAGGAGGAAATAATACAGTTAAAGAGCAGATTGTAGAAGAAAGTAGTAGAGTGTGAAAAGTGGTCAGTGTATCCTCCAGCAGTCTAAGCCTATAGCAGCATAACTACAGAGATAATTCAGGATAATCTATCCTATTTAGATGGAGGCATGTTGGAGGCAGGGCAAGGGAGAGCCGTCTTTACCGACTGTACACTCCACCTCCCTGTAATCCCCCACTTGTCCAGATCTAAGCTAACATCAGATTTTAACCATAGGCCCTATCAAATAAAAAATGTTTTGAGCCTATTCTTAAAAGTAGACAGTCTGCCTCACGGACTAAGACTGGGAGTTGGTTCCACAGGAGAGGAGCCTGATAACTAAAAGATCTGCCTCCCATCCTAATTTTAGGTATTCTGGGAACCACCAGTAGACCTGCAGTCTGAGAGCGAAGTGCTCAGTTAGGAACGTATGGAACAGTCAGATCACTGATGTATGATGGAGCTTGATTATTAAGAGCTTTATATGTGAGAAGAAGGATCTTAAAATCTATTCAGAATTTAACAGGTAGCCAATGTAGGGAAGCTAAGACAGGAGAGATATGATCTCTCTTTTTAATTCTCATCAGAACTCTAGCTGCAGCATTTTGGACAAGCTGAAGACTTTTAACTACATTCTGTGAACTTCCTGAGAATAATGAATTACAGTAATCCAGTCTATATGCAATAAATGCATGAACTAGTTTTTCAGCATCACTCCTGGAAAGGATGCTTCTAATCTTAGCAATATTCCGAAGGTGGAAAAAGGAAATCCTACAAACCTGATTAACCTGGGATTTGAATGACATGTCCTGGTCAAAGATAACACCAAGGTTCCTTACTTTGTTCTCGGAGACTAATTTAATGCCATTCAGGTCAGGCGATTGACTAAGCAATTTCCTTTTCTGGATTTCTGGTCCAAAGATGAGAATTAATTTTTGCAAGGCAGCTATCTTTGTGTAACACATTTCATAAACAGAGGCTGTTTAATGTGCTTTCCATTAGCCAGAATAGCATGAACATTAAAATCAACGAGGCAGCACAATTAAAATGCACAAATAAATGTGGATCAAATTAACGTTTTCAATGTTGATGTAAAAGTTACCAGAGTTGAGCCAAGCTAGTAAAATACTGAAGATAAAAATGTTAGAAAGCATCACCTGTTGGAGAGTTCATCCCTCTAGAGAGGACAGAAAATGACCTCCGGGATGCACGTTGGAAATGCCTGGTCTAAGATGCTGACAGACTGATGAGCAAATATCCTACAGAGTAATTATGAGATAAAAACGAAGAGCGCTCTCTGTGTTTGTGCTCAGCTCTGTGACGGAGATCTGGAGTCGGAGTTCAGCCAGTTCCAGGACTGGCTGCGGATCTTTCCTCTGTTTAAAGGCAGATCCACCACTGAGGATGAAGATGAGGGTGACCAGGAGAGGCTGATGGGAAAATACAAGGTACAGGTGGCAGAGCTCGCTGTGTGTTTGTTAGAATGCATTCATCGTTTCCTGTTTTCCATTTCCAGGGTTCGTTCTTGGTCTATCCTATTGATCCAGAAGACAGGGAAGACACGACGTGTCAGATCACCAACGGAATTCCCAAAAACTCTCCAATCAAAGTCTTAGTCAGAGTTTACATCGTCAAGGTTTGTGCGTCCTTTACAATGTTCATTATGTCCTCTTTTTAAATATTAAACAAGGTTCTTTTTGCTTCGGACATGAAGGTGTTTCTAGTTACCTTTTTACATGTTTTGACCGTCGTCTGCGGTCTTCATCAGAAATGTCAAAGGTGTTTGTGTGACGCGTCTTTATCAGCTGTTCTTCTGGTGGGCGCGACCAACCCAGATCTGTCAGATCCGCCGGGTCGGTCACGCCCACCTCCGCTGGCTGGTCTTTGGAGAAGGGAATCCCAGGTGCGAGACAGCTGATAGGCCCCCTCGTCTCTGTTCCTGTTCCAATGTTCACGTTTCCTTATTTCTATTGCCTCCCTGACCCAACATTTGAACCGGTCGTTCTCCATGTTGATAATTTTCCCTTGATCCCAGTCCATGAAGACCACAGACGACAGTCAAAACATGTAAAAAGGTAACTAGAAACACCATGTCCGAAGCAAAAAGAACCTTGTTTAATAATAATAAAAGGTTTGTGCGTCCCTTAGATTGGCAGTTATGACTCTTAAACTTTTGGGCTAAAATGAACAAAGTCACAGCCTGCGTGTAGTGGTTTTATTTTATTTTAGTTTCCGCTGGGTCAGAGGTCAACAGCTGTTTGCTTGTGTCCTGCAGGCTACCAGCCTGTCTCCCACGGACCCAAATGGAAAGGCTGATCCATACCTAATTGTCAAAGTGGGAGATCAAAGTCTGGACTCCAAAGAGCGATACATCCCCAAACAGCTGAACCCAACGTTTGGAGAGTTAGTACCTGTCTGTCTCTCTCATCCACTTCTCTGTTTGTCTCTCATAGAGTCTGACTGCTTTTCAGGGTGTTCGAACTGACAGTGTCCTTCCCTCTGGAGACAGAGTTGGTCATCACAGTCATGGACCACGATCTCATTGGAGCTGATGATGTCATTGGAGAGACTCGAGTGGATCTAGAAAATCGGTTCTACAGTCGACATCGGGCCTCCTGTGGGCTCGCTCTTTACTACGACACGTTAGTAACACAACTTCAGCTGAAATGCTCAAAAAACTAAAAATGTCGCAAATCTTCTATTTTTTAAACCAAAACCACAAATCGGTCAAGTTTACTTCATCTGAGATGCGTTGGGACCGGTGACACGTACATCAGTTAGACAGTCAAAGTAACAAAGTGCCCTCTAGAGGCTGGCTGCAGAACAACGTTTAAGTCCCACGCCTTTCATGTAAACGAAACGAGACACTTTCCTGACTCAACTCTGAAAACAACCCAGAAATATTTCTCCAGGCCTTTTTTTATTCTTGCAGCTCCTATTTTCTTACTGCGTGTTTATGTGAAGCAAAAACAGATAAAAGCCATTTTTAATCAAAATCACTAAACTTGATTTTGACTTAAGTAAATTATTAAAAGATGCATTTTTGGAAAACCTGATCAGATTTAGCAAATTACAACTCTTCAAATATTAGTTTTATTTTGCATCTAGTTGTAATTAGCTATGTGATGCTTGTGTGTGTGTGTGTGTGTGTGTGTGTGGGGGGGGGGGGGGGGGTCTACATATTCATTCATCTCAATAATTCATACAATGTTTTATTACAAGACAATTTTTATTTTCTACAACTTGTTAATTGCCAAAATGCATGTTAATAATTAATTTGTAGTACTTTAAAGGCAATCAAGGTATAGTAATTGTATACTACCAGTATGAAAATGTGTTAGCATCACTATTTTATCACTATCACCATGTATCACTATGTTAGTGTCACTATTTAGCACCAATGCAATTACAGATGAGTAAAAATGCAAATATTTGGACCAAACTGACTGTGACTAATTAAAATAGATTTGATTGAGTGGCTGGAGGCGTCAGTGTTGGACAGCCTTGCTTCCATCAGGGCAGCTGTGGCTATACAGCTCATCACCACCAGTGTGTGAATGGGTGAATGACTGTTTGTGTTGTAAAGTGTCTTGGGGGGTAATAGAAACCTAGAAGGCTCTATATCAAATACAGGCCATTTACCACATAGATGCTAGAATGATTTATTGATGTCTGTTTCTTTAATAACTGTGTTTTTGAAGTGATGGTTACAATAAGTGGCGTGATGCGAAGAAGCCGTCAACCATCTTGGCTGAGCTCTGCAGGAAGAACGGCATACCGTCTCCAGAGTACAGAACATCTGAAGTGAAAGTCCTCAACAAGATCTTCAAAATACCTCCAGATGCTGTTCCAGAAGGTACGGAGGAAAACAAATGTTTTCTGTGTTAGATGTTCTCTAGTCATAAGTAAGGAGTTTTTCTCAGGGAAATCATTTAGTAATCACACTTGTTTGGGAAAAGGGTTGTTTCTTTACTCCAGTGATCTCCAGCTTTAGTTGTTGCTGTTCTTGCAGGTTTGTTGAAGAAGAACCAGCGGTCTCCTGAGGAGGAAGCAGAGATGGAGGAGCATGCAGCCCTGAGTGTGCTGCAGCGCTGGAGGGAGATGAGAGAGTTCCTCCCTGGAGCTGTTTCTCTGGTTCCGGAACACGTGGAGATCCGATCACTGCAGAACCAGGACAATCCCGGACTTCCACAGGTTCATTAATAATCAGTAGGAACAAACACGCCTTTCTTCCTTGTCTGCATCAATGTTTGTTTTTAGGGTTACCTTCATATGTGGGTGGACATGTTTCCCACTGACGTCCCTGCCCCGCCCGCTGTTGACATAAAGCCCCGCCTACCTGAACAGTACGTAGACACACAGCTGAGGATCAAACAGCTAAATAATTCTAAAAACAACAAAAGTTCTTCCTTGCTGATGTTTTATTGTGACAGATACGAGCTGCGCGTGATCATCTGGAACACCGACGACGTGTTTCTGGACGACATCAACCCGTTCACTGGCGACCCTTCCTCCGACATCTACGTCAAAGGGTTAGTTTCACAATTAATCCTGTCATCGTGTCCCATGTTCCCAGCTGTGAGAGCTAGTGGTTGTGTGGTGTTCTCCTGACAGCTGGATTAAAGGACTGGATGGAGAGAAGCAGGAGACAGATGTCCACTTCAACTCTCTGACAGGAGAAGGAAACTTTAACTGGAGATTTGTTTTCCGATTTGACTACCTTCCCACTGAGGTATGCTCACGTGCTGCTGACCCCAGCTCTGCTCTGGAGGTGTCAGAAAGCCTTTCGCTGCAAACGTGGGAACAATCATCTGAATTTAATCTAATCAAAATCCCAGATGTTTCCAGAACAACTGGTGTTTCCAGCAGCAAAACGAACAAGCAAATATGAGATCGTGTAGACGACGACTGATGAATATTTTCTCCTCTTGTACAGAAAGAGGTTGTGTATAAAAAGAAAGAGTCGATCTTTTCTCTGGAAGAGTCCGAGTTTCGCCAACCGGCAGTTCTGGCCCTCCAGGTCTGGGATTATGACCGCATTGCAGCCAACGACTTCCTGGGTGACGCGCGCACGCACACACACACACACACACACACACACACACACACACACACACACACACACACACACACGCTTACAAATGTATTAATGTCCCACTGGTTTTAGTGGTTCTGGACATGAGAAAAGACATCTGATGTCTGTGTGACCAAACGGCCTCTCTCTTTACACCATGATGTCCTTTAGGCTCCATAGAGCTTTATCTCAGCAACATGGTCCGACCAGCAAAAACATCCAGTAAGTGCACTGTTGACATGGCCAAGGACCTCGCTGGTCCTCGGTTCTCCATCTTTCGTGCCAAAAAGATGAAGGGCTGGTGGCCGCTAGTCCGCTTGAAGAGCACAGAGGACTTTGAAAGGGAGGAGAAGGAGAGAGAGGAGGCCAAGAAGAAGGGACGCAATAAAAAGAAGAGCAAAGACAAGAGAAGCAAACTGAGACAGGAGGACATCCAGTACACAGACAGCTTGGGCAACACTTTCTTGTTGATGGTATGAAACATTTCACTGTAAAAATGATGATCACATTGTATTAATTCAGATTTACTTGAGAACATTTGCTGAACTTGTTCATGAAGTTCCTGATATATCAGGCTGAACACGCCTAACGCTGACACTGTTCATGTGAAGGGGAAGGTGGAGGCGGAGCTTCAGCTGGTGGCTTTAGAGCAGGCAGAGGCCAACCCTGTCGGGCGAGGACGCAAAGAGCCGGAGCCTCTGGACAAACCAAAGTAACACACGCATGTGCACACACACACACACACACACACACACGCACTCACACATGCACACACATGCATTCACACACACACACAAACACGCGTATTCACACACATATTCACACACATGCACTCGCACGTGCACACACACACACACGCACTCACTCACACACACATGCCTACACATTCACACATGCACACACACACACACACACACACACACACACATACACACGTGTTCACATGCACGTTAACTCACACACATATTCACACACAAAAGCACTCGCACGTGCACACACACACACACGCCTACACATTCACGCACGCATTCACACATGCATTCACACACACATGCACACACACACACGTGTTCACATGCACGTTAACTCACACACAAGCACACGCACGTGCACACACACACAGACATCAGTGACTACCTGCTTCTTGTATGATTTTTTTTTTCACCAAAATGAAAAACGATTTTGTGAAAACCTGTTGGTGATTAAACAATTTCCCTCTCCAGTCGTCCCACCACCAGCTTCAACTGGTTTGTCAATCCCATGAAAACCTTCATCTTTCTCATATGGAAGAACTACAAGAAGTACATCATAGCTTTGTTCATCCTCGCCATCCTGACCCTGTTCCTGGTCCTCATCTTCTACACCTTACCGGGACAAATCAGCTCCCTCATCGTCAACGGATGAAACAACCCACAGAGAATCTGGTTTCAGGTTTCTGGGCCTTTTCCATCAGCTCCACCATTACGTCGAACAAAACAAAGTTTGTCTGGATTACATCCTGGTGGGTGTGGTTCAGTCCATCCTCTGTGGAGATGACTGACCTCAGATTTAAGATTAACAATTGATTCATGTTATTTGACACGAGGAAACAAATCATGATCTTATTTTAAATTGAAACACGATTATTTTCATATTAAGTTGTGCTTTTGTTCATATTTTTGTTATAAAAGTAGACTAAGTAAACATTATGGTGTTTAAAATACATTTTTGTTTGTTCGTTGCACTGATTCAGAACTCTGATCTGCACCAGAATCAAGTGGAGGGATCGGAACAACAAGTCTAACGAATAAATATTAATATCAGACACTTGTAATTATTTCACTCACTTTGCAGCTAATTTAAAACATTAATTACACAGTTACACAGATGATTGAGCTAAATAATAAGGCAGATAGTCTAGATTATTTTTTGTTTTTAGGGTTTTAAATGAAACGGACATAAAAAAGGTGAGAGGAGCTCAGTTATAAGCAGAACAGGCTTTGCCGCTGCCTCAGGAAGCTACAAATAGTTTGTTTACATGTTTGTTCTGATTGTTTCCTCTGGTGACGTTGAGACGAACTTCACCTCACATGCAGAAGAAATGATGAATGGAGTCTTTATTTATGGAAACCACTTAATTTATTGAACATTTCCAGTCTTTGGGTTTGTGCGGAACTTCATCTATAATAAAATGAATGATCAAAGACTATCGTATTCAAACAGATGTTTCTCTTAGGGTCTCCAAAGTTGAGGCTGGAATCCTTCTGTTGCTTGTTAGTCATTCAGTTTGGGAGGGGAAAGCTGTGCACTGTTTGGGGATGGTGTGCTGCTGACCTCGACTCACGACTCTGGACGCTGTGGATCGGTGGGTGGAGTACGTCAAAGTTCTTCTCAATCCCATCGGCATCTCTGAGGAAGCAGAGTCTGGGGACTTTGGGTTGGACTCTCTGGTGCCGAGGTCACTAAGGTGGTCAAAGAGGTCAATAGACGGATTGATGCTGCGTCTGCAGTGATGCGGGAGTTGTACCGGTCTGTCGTGGTGAAGCGAGAGAGCTGAGCTAGAAGCAAAGCTTTCGATTTACCGGTCGATCTACGTTCTATGGTCACAAGCTTTGGGTAGTGACCAAAAGAACGAGATCGTGGATAAAGATGGTTGAAATGAGTTTTCTCCGCAGGGCGGCTGGGCTCTCCCTTAGAGATAGGGTGACAAGCCTACATTTGGGAGGGGCTCAGAGTAGACCCGCTGCTCCTCCACACCTTCTCAGTGGTAGAGTGTCTGCTGGGACTGGGAGATCATACCAAGACTTTAACAATGGGACCCAATGCCTCCCTACTTGACACTCAGCTTTAAGGGGTTGGATTGTGGGTTAAACCACCAAATCCCAAGTGCATCCACCGCTCCTCACGGGGATGGGTCAAACAGAGAGAGAGAAGTCTGGGATCCCTGCTTAGGCCGCTGCCCCCGCAACCCCACCCCAGATGGATGGACATGAAACATTCACATTTTCTTACATTTTTTGCTATAAATAAAATCTGAGTATCAAATGATTTTTAACTTAAATTATTATGATGACGACATGTTTGCATTTAAAAAGAGGAGCTCTGAGGAACAGGTGAAAACGTTAAGTGTCATAAATGGTAAAAACACACATCTGTATCAGGTAAAAGTTTTATAAGCACGTCCCTGGTGTAACAATGGGACCGGAGACTCCCAGTTCTCCCAGTCTGCCCGCTAAGAGCTCGGTCAGTAGTGCGCGCTCCCGCGGCAGAGGGCTCCGCTCCGCCGCTGTTCCCCGTGAGCGCGCGTCTCCATGCGGGTTAATAAAGACGCTTTAAAGCAGCAAAAGCAGAATAAGCCTCCGGTGAAGCGTTATGACGCTGAGGCTGGACCGGAAAAAAAGAACTCGGTTTGATCCTCCAGCGTGATCCCGGTCCCGGTGTCGGAGGGGTTCCGAGCAGAACCTCCGCTCTTTGTCAGCCGGTTCCTCTCGCGGAGACCGGAACGCTTTGTGTTTTTTTTTTCTGAATGAAGACGCTCACCGTTAGTTCGTCACACCGGGGATCCGTAGTCCATCTTAGTTATTTTAGGGGTTCTGTGAAGTTTTTGCTGTTTGGGTTTTTATTCCCGTCCGGACCGAGTCACCTTTTGTTCAGAGGACAGAAAAAAAGAGGCGTCTGATGCTGCGGTTCATTCACACTGAGCAGCTCTTATTATCCGTTCATCCACCCCCTCTGGGTAAGTGTGCTGCTCCTCACCTGAATAACATTTTATTTTAGTGACTCGGTTCGGTGCTGCTGCGGTGTGTGGCTCTGATCCGTCAGTCCCCGAACTGCGCTTGGCGGTCCCGGTTCACCACTCTCCCATTCCCGGTCCCATTGAGCGCACCATGCCGGAGAACGTGTCGGTGTCGGAGTTCGTGCAGGAGGTTCGGGATGACTGGAGCTCCCCTACCACCTCCTCCTTCACCTCCAAGATGATCAGTTGCAGAAACACCGTCTACCTGCTGGAAGAGGTGAGTCCTGCAGAGGGAGGTGGTCCAGGAGGTATCAGAGCACCAGATCCTGGTGGTCCACCTCCACGGCTGTCCGGCTTCTCTGGTCTCTGCAGTTTGGTTCGGATGGATTAACTGCTACTTTAAACCATTTCCCTCCTCATGAATTATTTTCGTCTGCTGCACCTTCAAGGTCCAACCTGATGTCACACAACTGGTGTGTTTTATTCCATCAGTGCAGTTCAGGACTAATAAATCCCTGCACTGCTGTCATGAAGTCTGGTGGTGACATCATGTACCAGCTCAGCTCAGCAGCATGAATCTGAACTCAAACCCAATCAGTTCCTGCTGATAACATCTGTAGGAGCGCTGAGCTACTGAGAAACATCTGGAAATCAAAAGAAAACATTCACAGCCGCACACATTTTATAGAATCAGGAGCAAGCATCTCAGCATCACCATCAGAACTTCAGTTTATGCAGGTTTAAAGGACAATGTCTGGATTTTCAGAGCATTAATTGTGAAATCCACCAAAAACATTTTTCTGTTCATAATGAAATCATTGAAAAAATTAAAAAGAATTACTTTTAAATAGTAGGGTATTTTAATAATCCCCTTGTTTTTTAATTCTCAACTAAAACTGATTTTAGATCAAAATCTATGTATTTATTTTTAACCACACAACCTTTTGGGGCATTTCAGATGAAAACAGGTCATTCGTTTTCTAACACCCTGCCTACACTAACCTGGAGCACAACTCATAATTACATTTTTTAATTGAAAGAGTACATTTTTGAATAACTGAACCAGAAACTTGATAAGATTCTTGGTTTTTCTACTAAAGAAACTTGACTTTATTGTTTTTGGCCAGTAGAACAAAATTCCTTCCTCAATTTTCTGCCAGTTAACTAATTAATTACCGTAAACAATGTGTGGAGCTGCACTGCTGCTGTGAGGTCTGTGTGTGTTTGGATGTACTTTAAGGCAGCATGACCGACACCCCCCCCCCCCTCCCAACACACACACACACACACACACACACACACACCAGCTATTGACCTGGAGAGCAGCCTGAAAAACAGACCCAAGTCATCACCCCCACCCCCCCTTCAAATACCCCCAGCAGAATTGGCATATGTTGCCACGGCAACAGATTACTCCCCTCCATGACTTTTGTTGTTGTTATTTTATGGTCCTGAAGAGAAGCTGGGGGGATTAATTTTAATAAAGATGTTAGTTAATCTGCAAGCGGCTGTTTAAATTACAGCTTTAATGGAAACATTAGTTTAATGTGAGATCTGGAGTTTCTGCTGCAGGATGAACCAGTAAATATGTTTATTATGTGGAGGAGAGAAAAGAAATATTTTTCTGATCATTTATATACAAACAAAAGGCTGAAGCAGGATGTTACATGACCCAATGAGTTTGTTGTTTTATCTTTTAAACATTCGAACTGTAACAAACACCAGTCTTTGTGTTAGATGTAATAAAACATTCATTGGGACCTGGAATGTAATTTTCAACATGAATGCAGAAGTCTGTTTTATTATAAAATATTTAAAACCTTAAATATTCAATCACAAGTTTGAATTTGAGGCAGAGAAAAAACATGATTTATCTGTAAGAACATGAATCAAATACCATGGAGATGATGAAGATGAAGGTTTGAGATAAGCATCCGCAAAGACTCCAACTGAGTTATTTCATCATTATTTACGATAAAACACAAAGAAAAGCTTCAGTTTAGCACAGCAACATCCAAACACGGGGATGTAGCAGCATTGTCACGTGTGTGTGTGTGTGTGTGTGTGTGTGTGTGTGTGTGTGTGTGTGTGTGTGTGTGTGTGTGTGTGTGTGTGTTCAGGCTCTGGACAGCGACCGGTTGGTGCTGCAGAAGATGAAGAAAGCTGCTAAAGCCAAGTACACATCAGGACATGGTAGAGAAGCACACACATGTGGAACAGCACACGCGTGATTTCCCTAACTAACACGGTTTATTTGACCAGACCACGTGTCTCACGTGGAGCAGTACATCAACTCCATGGAGAAGCTCGCGGTGAACTGTCACTCAAATGGAGAGAACGAGGTCGGCTCGGCCTTCTGCCGCCTGGCGGACTTTTCCAAAGATCTCCTGTCTCCCATGAAAAACCTGGTGAGCACAGGACCTCAGAGGTCAAGGGTCACATCAGCTGTTCCTGATAAGATGTTTCACCTCTAAGTAGTCTAGAGTAGTTTACATTATGTAAACACACAATCTGTGCTAATATGAATCATTTAAAACTGAAAACAGGTCTGTGACAATGCCATTTGAGACAAACAAGATTTCAAACGGGACCTTTTGCAACATTTGTGCTGCCATGTGGTTCTCTATTGCCTCTATAAACGCTCCAAATGTGAACAAACCTGCCCACTCATTTTCTGTCAGTGTTGCTTTTAGGATTTATGTGCCTAAAATAGGCCGTTTCAAAAAGTCACAGTTTGTGACATCACAAAACTAGCATAGGACCACTTCTTAGGTAGAGAAAGCTGAAGGTGGGTAAGGGTTAGGAGGAGCAACAGCTCTATTCTGAGCCCCTCAGAGCTTCTCAGCTAATAGCATTAGCGTGAATGGGTGGGCGTGGCTAGCTTCAGCTTGTTTTCTTAAAGTGACAGAGCCCTGAAACGGCTCATTCTGGAAGGTACTGAAAATGGTAAGGATGAAACAGCTAATTTGCTTATGTGGGAGGGGTTTAGTGCAAAGAAGTTCATGAAAACATTTTGTATAGACCATATAACTATTGTAACTTAGGCATAATATGACTTTTTCTTCCTAACCACAAAGGAAAGTCTGTTTGAAATCTACTTGAGTCTTTGTGTTCAGCTTTGCTAATTTCATCCTTGATTGTATATTTTTGGTAAATGCAGAAGACAAATGAATATTTGTCTTTTGAATCCAAACCACATTGCTTTTAATGACCAGTGTTCTTGTGTTTGTGTGAAGTTAAAGAGCATGCTGCACAACATCAACTTCTTCCTGGACTCTCTGGTCAAAGGAGATCTGAGGGAGGTGAAGGGGGTGAGAACTTTTCTTATGTGCAAATAGGCCTAGTTTGAGTCATGCATGATGATTTTTAGGTATTTTCACACCTGATAAACTGGGAAAACAAACACCGACATATGCTGAGTAAAGAGTGGATTCTGAAGTCCTGTTTCCACCTCTGCCTCTTCGTAGGATCTGAAGAAGCCATTTGACCGAGCGTGGAGGGACTATGAAAGCAGATTGTGAGTTTCTACCACATTTTAAGATCAGAGAGTTTACATACACACCCGTTTCTGCAATTTTTAGGCTCTCCTTGTTACGTGGTAATGCATGTAAAAATCACACCCTGCATAATTCAGGAACACAGAAGCTCTCGACAGCAGACGTGAGCTGGTAAAACAGTCAGCAGTCATTTTAATAATTGACACTGTGTGTGTGTGTGTGTGTGTGTGTGTGTGTGTGTGTGTGTGTGTGTGTGTGTGTGTGTGTGTGTGTGTGTGTGTGTGTGTTTAGCAAGCAGGTGGAAAAGGAGAAGAGGGAGTTAGCACGACAGTACGGAATGGTGAGGAGTGAGGTGAGTGGAGGAGAAATCGCTGAGGAGCTTGAGAAGGAGAGGCGCTCCTTCCAACTGAGCATGTGCGAGGTAAGTGACTCACACCCTTTAGAGACTCCTTCTCCTGCTGAGCACATCTTTCTGGTCATCTCTGTCCACTGAATAGACCCCGCCCCTTCTCCTGTCTCAGTATCTCATTAAGGTAAACGAGATAAAGACAAAGAGAGGTGTGGACCTGCTGCAGAACCTCATCAAACACTACCACAGCCAAAACAAGTAGGACACACACACACAACAGCAAATCTCTAGCGGGCAGCCTCATATTTACTGTATGTGTGTGTGTGTGTGTGTGTGTGTGTGTGTGTGCGTGCGTGCGTGCGTGCGTGTGCATGTGTGTGTGTGTAGTTTTCTGCAGGAGTGTGCCTCGACCACTCAGAGGCTTAAACAGTACATGGAGGAGCTGAACGGCGTTCTGAACACGGTACAAAAAGCCAACACTGCTGTGGACTTGAGTTTTCATCGATTTTAGCCTGAAATGCAGAAACGCTGACTGTCATTTAAAAAAAAATCATTACTTGACTCCATGCTGCATTAGTCCAAAACTGCAAGGTCATGAAAATCTTGCAAAAACCTGAATTTCTAAAGATTTCTTGCCACAAGCTTTTAAATTGATTTAAGTGAAATGTCAGCAGGATTTGATTCTTTTAACAAACCTATTTGCTATGAAATCACATTAATGTTATGTAAACATATTTAGTTTGAATTGAAGCTTCCATAATCGTGCCTAATTTAGGCCAGGGATTTTTAATTTTCCTAAATAAAACAAAAACAGTCGTGCCCAACAGAAGATTTTGCTCGTTTCCTCATGTTCAAATACTTTGTCTTCCCCGGTGGAACCTTGGGTTATTTGTGATCAATATCCTAACCCCAACCCGTTTTATACACACAGAAAAGTAGTTTTTGACTCCATTACTCTGTCATGTCAGTCCCAAAGAGAGATGGACTTTTTTAGAGCAAGGGAATTGTAGCTGTATGTTTTTTACCCTTTAGTTTTCCATTTTAAAAACTTTTTATATTTTATTATGTGTGATTTGTGTTCCTTGAACCGTCACCTTATCGTGGTGGAGGAGTTTGAGTGCCCTAATGATCCTAGGAGCTATGTTGTCTGGGGCACTTAGTGCCCCTGGTAGGGTCTCCCATGACAAATTGGTCTTAGGTGAAGGGTGAGACAAAGAACGGTTCGAAGGATCTTTCATGGCGGTGAAAACGAAGAGTCGGAGTACCCGGCCCGGAGGGTTACCGGGGTCCCACCCTGGAGCCAGGCCTGGGGTTGGGGCCCGTGAGCGAGCGCCTGGTGGCCGGGCTTTCGCCCATGGGGCCCGGCCGGGCCCAGCCCGAACCGGATACATGGGCTCGTCCAACTGTGGACCCACCACCCGCAGGAGGAACATGAAGGGTCCGGTGCAATGTGAATCGGGTGGCAGACCAAGGCGGGAGCCTTGGCGGTCCAATCCCCGGACAAGAAAACTAGTTTTTGGGACATGGAACGTCACCTCGCTGGTGGGGAAGGAGCCGGAGCTTGTGGCAGAGGTTGAGCGGTACCGGCTAGATATAGTCGGACTCACCTCGACACATTGCATTGGCTCTGGAACCCGAGACCTGGAGAGGGGTTGGACACTCTACTTTGCTGGAGTTGCTCCGGGTGAGAGGCGGAGGGCTGGGGTTGGCTTTTTGTTAGCCCCGAGACTAACTGCCTGTGTGTTGGGGTTTACCCCGGGGGACAAGAGGGTAGCTTCCTTGCGCCTTCGGGTCGGGGAACGGGTCCTGACTGTTGTTTGTGCTTATGGGCCAAATATCAGTTCAGAGTACCCACCCTTTTTGGAGTCCCTGGGACGAGTGCTAGATAGTGCTCCATCAGGGGACTCCATTGTCCTGCTGGGGGACTTCAATGCTCACGTGGGCAATGACAGCTTGACCTGGAGGGGTGTGATTGGGAGGAACGGCCCACCTGATCAGAACTCGAGCGGTGCTTTGTTATTGGACTTCTGTGCAAGCCGCAGTTTGGCCATAACGAACACCATGTTCGAACATAAGGATGCCCACCGGTACACTTGGTACCAGGGCAGCCTAGGTCACAGGTCGATGATAGATTTTGTAGTCGTATCATCTGACCTGCGGCCGTATGTTTTGGACACCCGAGTGAAGAGAGGGGCGGAGCTGTCAACTGATCACCACCTGGTGGTGAGTTGGATCAGATGGCAAGGGAACATGCCGCGTAGACCTGGCAGACCCAAACGCATAGTGAGGGTCTGCTGGGAACGCCTGGCAGAAGAACCTGTCAAGACGGTCTTCAACTCCCACCTCCGGCAGAGCTTTGACCACGTCCCGAGAGCAGTGGGGGACATTGAGTCCGAGTGGGCCTTGTTCCACTCTGCGATTGTCGAGGCGGCTGTTGCTAGCTGTGGTCGTAAGGTGGCCGGTGCCAGTCGTGGTGGCAACCCCCGTACCCGCTGGTGGACACCAGAGGTTCGGGGAGCCGTCAGGCTGAAGAAGGAGGCCTACAGGGCGTGGCTGGTCTGTGGGTCTCCGGAGGCAGCAGACAGGTACCGGATAGCCAAGCGGGGTGCAGCAGTGGCAGTTGCCGAGGCAAAATCTCGGGCGTGGGAGGAGTTTGGTGAGGCCATGGAGAAAGACTATCGATCGGCTCCAAAGAGGTTCTGGCAAACTGTCCGGCGCCTCAGGAGAGGAAGGCAGCAACTCGCTCACACTGTTTACAGTGGGGAGGGGGAGCTGCTGACGTCAACTGAGGCTATAGTCGGACGGTGGAAGGAATACTTTGAGGAGCTCCTCAATCCCACCAATGCGCATTCCGAGGAGGAACCAGAGCTGGGAGGCCTGGGGATGGACTGTCCGATCTCGGGGGCAGAAGTTGCTGAGGTAGTCAAACAACTACACAGCGGCGGAGCCCCGGGGGCGGATGAGGTTCGTCCTGGGTATCTCAAGGCTATGGATGTTGTAGGGCTGTCATGGTTGACACGTCTCTACAACATTGCGTGGTCATCGGGGGCAGTTCCTAGGGAGTGGCAGACCGGGGTGGTGGTCCCCATCTTTAAGAAGGGTGACCTGAGGGTGTGTTCCAACTATAGGGGGATCACACTCCTCAGCCTCCCTGGAAAGGTCTACGCCAAGGTACTGGAGAGGAGGGTCCGATCGATAGTTGAATCTCAGATAGAGGAGGAGCAATGTGGTTTTCGTCCTGGCCGTGGAACTGTGGACCAGCTCTATACCCTTGCAAGGGTGATGGAGGGGGCATGGGAGTTTGCCCAACCAATCCACATGTGCTTTGTGGATTTGGAGAAGGCTTATGACCGTGTCCCCAGGGGCACCCTGTGGGGGACGCTCCAGGAGTATGGGGTGGGTGGCTTTCTGTTGAGGGCCATTCAGTCCCTTTACCAGAGGAGCGTGAGTTTGGTCCGCATAGCCGGTAGTAAGTCGGACCTGTTCCCAGTGAGGGTTGGACTCCGCCAGGGCTGCCCTTTGTCACCGGTTCTGTTCATCACTTTTATGGACAGAATTTCTAGACGCAGCCGTGGTGTGGAGTGTGTCGAGTTTGGTGGCAGGAGAATCTCGTCTCTGCTTTTTGCGGATGATGTGGTCCTCCTAGCTTCATCCAGCTCTGACCTTCAGCTCTTGCTGGGTAGGTTCGCGGCCGAATGTGAAGCGGCTGGGATGAGGATCAGCACCTCCAAATCTGAGACCATGGTTCTCGACCGGAAAAGGGTGGCTTGCCACCTCCGGGTCGGGGGAGAGGTCCTACCTCAAGTGGAGGAGTTTAAGTATCTCGGGGTCTTGTTCACGAGTGAGGGTAGGAGGGATCGGGAGATCGACAGGCGGATTGGTTCGGCGTCTGCAGTGATGCGGACGCTGAGCCGATCTGTCGTGGGGAAGAGGGAGCTGAGCCAGAAAGCCAGGCTCTCGATTTACCGGTCGATCTACGTCCCAATCCTCACCTATGGTCATGAGCTTTGGGTAATGACCGAAAGAACGAGATCGCGGATACAAGCGGCCGAAATGAGTTTCCTCCGTAGGGTGGCCGGGCTCAGCCTTAGAGATAGGGTGAGGAGCTCGGACATTCGGGAGGGACTCGGAGTAGAACCGCTGCTCCTCCGGATCGAAAGGAGCCAGTTGAGGTGGTTTGGGCATCTGGTCAGGATGCCTCCTGGACGCCTCCCCGGGGAGGTGTTTCGGGCATGTCCTGCCGGCAGAAGGCCCCCGGGTCGACCCAGGACACGTTGGAGAAGTTACATCTCCAATCTGGTCCGGGAACGCCTTGGGGTCCTGCCGGAGGAGCTGGTGGACAAGGCCGGGGAGAGGACGGCCTGGAGCTCCCTAGTTGGGATGCTGCCCCCGCGACCCGGACCCGGATAAGCGGAGGAAGACGACGACGACGACGACGACGTGATTTGTGTTTGTTCAGGCCTGCAGGGCAGCAGGTCCATGAACAAAGTTCCTGTTAAACCTGAACCAGGTTGGCTGTTGTGTGCAGGTGAAGCAGCGCCAGGAGGAGGAGAAGCGCCAGTTGAGTGCCCTGAGAGATCAGCTGAGGCCAGTCGTCTACACAGAGCAGGTCACACACACACACACACACACACACACACACACACACACACACACACACACACACACACACACACACACACACACACACACACACACACACACACACACACACACACACACACACACACACCGTGTTATGGTCCAGAGCTGAATTACGTGTTTTTGTGTTTGTTCAGGAGTCTTTGCCGAAGCAGGTTTACAGCATGCATCAGCTTCTGGGAGACAAACAGTACGGAACAGAGCGATCCGGATTTCTCTACAAGAAGAGTGACGGGTGCAGTTTACAAATGAATCTGTGCTGTCAGAGTTTATTTACACATCTGTGTCATGGGAAAGACTAAAAGTTAAAAGATGAGAATAAAAGAATAAAGAGATAGAGGAGAAAAAAAACACAAAATAAAAGCATGGGTTTGTATTTGTATTCAGTACTAACACCATGTAAGACTGTGTGTGTTTCAGGTTGAGGAAAATGTGGCAGAAGAGGAAATGTTCTGTGCACAACTGTTACCTGACCATCGCTCATGCCACTGTGAGTCTGAGCTGGAATTTCCTTTAGCCTCTGAACTACCAAGTAACACAGATTGACATATGTGGGATTACAGCTGTCCCATGTTGCATTTCTGCATCCACATTGCACTGTATGTGTGTGAGTGATAGCCATGTCACAGGTCCCGCTGTGTTCTCAGCCAGTAGTAAAGCAACACCAGTTTCCTGCTCCTCCATCCAACTGGTTGAAAGTGGAATTACAGCTGTTGTAAACAACCCTGCAGCAGCCTGCTATAGCTAGCGCTAACAACGAGCTAACATCAACATGAGCCAACTAATACTAAAATAAACCACAAAGTAAAAAGATCCACACAGAAGTAAAGTATCATTACTTACAAGTCCAGTAGCAACAAAGCCAGGTCACAATCAGTCTGTGATTTTGTAGACTCTTTTAGCTCCCTCAAACTGGGGTGGGCTATGTTGATGTTTCTTCTGGTTTTAGCTCTTTGCTTCACCTCCAAAGACATTACTCTCTTACTTTTACTTTCAGGCTTCACCATGATGCCAACAGAAAAAACAAACGTCTTCTTTTTCTACTTGTGCGACAAACTGGAAATGCTCACTGCTAGCATTATAGCTCACAGCTGTAAAGCAGTTAAAGAGCTCCCCCTATAGGACACCTACCTGCTCTACAAAACTATCTAGTGTAGTCTGTGGCCAGCAGAGGGCTGCAGAATGGTTTCAAATATGAAACTAGCCAAGTTTCTAACCCAAAAATCACCCAGATCAATGTTAAAGCTCTAGCTTAAAGCTTAAAAACTATCTGTTGTTACTTTAATATTTGCACAGCCAAGTTTTTCTATCTGGAATGATGCAAATGTTTTAGATGATAAAATGTCTAACAGTGAACTGAGGCAGTAGCATAATTAATGCATCTCTAAATAAACACATTAATCAGAAAATGCTTAATATCAGATAAATGATTTTATTTAAAAATTCTCCACATGATAAAAAACTGCTTCTGCTAAACAAGCCAGGGCTCTAATGTGTTTTTATTTATGGTTTCCTGTGTGTTTATCAGCCGAACAAACCTCCGACCAGACTGAACCTGCTCACCTGTCAGGTTAAACCCAACGTAGAGGACAAGAAGTGCTTTGACCTCATCTCACGTGAGACACGTTCACACACCTAAACGTGAACATGTTACCTGCTAGCACTCCAGACTAATGTGCATGAAGAACCTGTAAGAACAAGTTTCCATTTGAAATAAATTGCTGTCAAACACTTTTTCTTCCAGACAACCGAACGTACCATTTCCTGGCTGAGGATGAAGCTGAGTGTGTGGCGTAAGTCAGGAATCGACTTATTTGGACTGATTGTTAGAAAGAGCAACTCCTCAGAGAGTCGGTGTGAGTTTGGGTTTGCCAGACTTCTTCAGCTGCTCCTCATCGCGGCATCGGGCTGTTGGTCTGAAGCAACTTTAGCAGCTAATTGATTAACACTTCTGAGTTTTTGACATCTACTTATCATCAAATCTGCTCAAAACCATTTTCAGAATGGCTGAAATGTGATATTTTCCAGAAAAACAACTTTTATTTCAGAACTTTAAGAGTAAGAACTCCATGTTTAACGCAGAGGTGGAAAATATGCTCAATATTCCAGTCAAACATAAACCAGAGTTGTATGAAGGGGACAGGCACATCTGTCTGGGGTTCAGGTGGATTGTGGGTAATTGAGGCTCCTGATTTAGGACCGTGAATTTGTGCTTTTGTTGTTCAGGTGGATCTCAGTGCTCAGTAACAGCAAACAAGAGGCTCTGAGCATGGCTCTGGATGGTACCCAGAGACGGGGTGGAGGGGGTGAGAGCAGCGTGGATGATCTGACCCGCGCCATCACCGATGACATCCGGCGGATGCCAGGAAACAACAACTGCTGTGACTGCGGTGCTCCAGGTAATCTTCATCTATTCGTTCGTCCTGGTGGCTTTCTCACACATTCAGCTTCACCAGGATTTCGTGACTCATTTACAGAATGTTATATTTCATCCAGTAGGTCATTCCTTGTCAGGCTTTTAATTTGAAATTCTACAGAAAGTTTGCATCGCATTTCTTTCTCGCCAGATCCTGGATGGCTTTCAACAAACCTTGGCATCCTGACCTGTATCGAGTGCTCAGGGATCCACAGGGAGATGGGCGTCCACGTCTCCCGGATCAAGTCTTTGAGCCTGGACAGCCTGGGGACCTCCGACCTGCTGGTGAGTAAACTCTGTTGTTTAGTTTTTGTCTGACCTGAATCACGTCAATAAAAAAGTGAAGAGGAAAGAAAGAAATTGGTTCTGACTTGGAAAATGTGACAACCTATTATCTTCTTCTTGAAGAAGTCAAGTCATGTCAGCTTGAAAGATGGCAGACTACCAACAATCTTAATAACCTTCTACAACTCAAAGATTTACTGGCTAATGTTGATTCAACATCTATTTAATAAAGGTTTTTATTATCTAATGTGATTATGTAACAATACATTTGTGATTGAGAAAGATTGGCCCTGGCTACATGCAGACCCTCCACCAGGGGGCAGTAGACATGTGTAGTAGCCTACTGTATTTGGCAGGTTTCTGATGTAGGAACAAATCCCGATGCTCCATTTGGAAGCTTTAAGGCCAAAATAGTTTGATGAAAATTTGAGACAATGATATACACCAAAATGGGCTGACCTTTTAAAAATTAGGTCCTCCTACTATAAACTGTTGTTAAATCTTGGGATTAACCCGACCAGAAATAAACATTATTATTATTGTCTTTGTAATTTATATCTTGCAAGACCACAAAACTATGTCATTGTAAACTGTTGCTGCCTATTTCATTCAGCTGGCCAGGAATGTTGGGAACTCTGGTTTTAACGAAATATTGGAGGGGAATCTGCTGAGTCCATCGCAGAAGCCCTCCCAGCACAGCCACATGTAAGACACTCACTCACCTGTGACTTATCAAAGAGGAAAATGTCAATTTTAATATGTTTGATGGTAGTTTATCCAATGTCAATCCTTGCAGGACAGAGCGCAAGGACTTCATCCTGTCAAAGTACCAGGATGTTAACTTTGTGAGGCGGAGCAGCAATTCTGCCTCAACACTACGACTCGGCCTTCAGGAGGCAACCAAGAGCTGTGACATCTACTTGCTAATCCAGCTGTACGCTCAGAGGGCGGAGCTTAGCCAGTCACTGCACACACACATACAGGTATACACACACAGAGACACAAATACAGGCAAGTATACGTACAAATATATGTAAAGGTGTTTTATAAAAGTACACGTCTGTAACAAGCCAACACGCAGGATGTGTTCTCACCAACAGGAGAAGGGTGAGACGGCGCTCCATTTAGCCGTTCTATTGGCTGATAGAACGTCGCTGCACATCTTGGACTTCCTGGCTCAGAACTGGTGAGTCTGCTGCGATGGATGCATGTGTTAGTATTATTATTATTATTATTATTATTACAAATCAGAGTTTTATTATTAGTTTGAATGATGATGTTTTTCCAGCTCCAACGTAGATGCACAAACATCATCAGGAAACACGGCGCTGCACTATAGCTGCCTGCACAACAAGAGCGACTGTGTGAAGCTGCTGCTGAGAGCCCGGGCCAACACACACATAAGTATTACGCACGCACGCACGCACGCACGCACGCACGCACGCACACACACACACACACACACACACACACACACACAGTCATTTCCACCTTGGTGATGATGATGTTCTAATTGCAGAGAACGAGCTGGGGGAAACTCCTCTGGATGTGAGCCGTCGGCTGAAGCATAGCGACTGTGAGGCATTGGTGAGATTGTTGATCTGAATTGACATATTTTTATTTCATCAGTAAATAATAAATAAAACTCTAAACATGCCCGTTTCTAATAAATACAGCTAATGATGTGTTTGCAGCTGCAACAGATCCAGTCTGACCAGTTTGACCATCACGTCCATGTGGAATACGAGTGGAGGCTTCGCCAAGACGATCTGTATGACAGCGATGATGACTTCGATGACAAGGTAACCATGGTAACTAAGGGTCAGCGGTCCTTAGCCATCCTTTTCATGACTTGAGATTATTTTAACCTTTCTCTGTTAAAGTATAGAGATATGAATAAATATATTTTATTGTCATTAGAGACGTTCGGTATTTTCTTGCCTCCTTGGTGAATCTGAATCTCTTCTTGGTGTCATTGTTTTAGAACGGTCCCGTCAAGAAGGAGCGGTCTTCCTCTTCCTCATCGTCTTCTGTCTTCACCCCCTCGTTCTCTTTCTCCTCCCGTCCTTTCAGCTTTAGTCAGTCCTCCACCTCCTCCACCACCTCCCCCCCTGTCATTCTATCCTCCTCTGGAGGACCAGGTGGAGGTCTGCTCAGTGTGGGGAGGAGACTCGCCATGGCCATGGACCTTCACAGCCGCCCAGCTGGCTCCAACCCCAGCCCTCCCCCTCCTCCTCCATCCTCTCCCGCCCCCCCACTGCCACCACGGGTCAAAGGTGAGTGCATATCCATAATGATTATTTATAACATAAAAAAAAACATTTCTTATTCTAATGAAACACCTGAGACAGCTGGAGTTGCTCCACTCTGATGTACATTGGAATAAATCCACTAGCTGTAATTATTCATGTCAGATAAAATGAGGGCTGTTTTTATTCGCTCGTGAACTAAAATCACGCTTCACTCTTCACGCTGAGCTCTCCGTGTGATCGCAGGCGCTGAAGCATCTAAAGATAACTGTTAAAGGGTGGGAAAACCCACAGGAGGTGAAAAAGACTTTAATGGTGTTATCTCAGGATTACAAGTCAATTATTGTTTCATAGTCCTTTTCTTGTCATAAGTGTATTCACGCTAACACAGAACACACATAAATGACAGGTGGAATCTTAGAAACACAGTAAATCCATTATACTAACTTATGAATTGAAAGTAAAGCCGATTTTATCTATTAGCTCCCACTGTTCCCCCTCCTCCACCTCCTCCTGGAGGCGATGGAGTGAGGGAAGATGAGGAGGAAGAGGGTGAGGTTTTCTTAACCACCACAGGAAGCAGAAAGACTCCTCCTCCTATCACTGTCCGACACAAGAGGACCTGCTCTGAGTCTAATAAGCACGGTAACACCCGAGAGACGCACTGCATTTAATCTGTCAGAGTAACTCTGTTATTAACTCTCTCTCTCTGTGTGTGTTATTAACTCTCTCTCTCTCTCTCTCTGTGTGTGTGTGTGTGTGTGTGTGTGTGTGTGTGTGTGTGTACATAGATTATGGGTTGTCAACCAGTCCTAGGATCTACAGCGGTCCAGACTCCTCCTTCAAAAGGTGTGTGTGAGTATTTTAGACCTGATCACACACTCTTTTTATGCCTTAGCAGGATCTATGGTTGTGTTTTAAACTCTGCATGCTATTAGACGATTAACAACCTGATATTCTCACTACTACGGATGTGAGTCAACAGTCCAGTTCGCCATTCACTGTTGAAAAAAAAGCAAATACGTCCTTCTTATAAATAAAGGACTCAAGTACCTCAATCTGTTCTTTACTCAAATAAAACATTGATGTCAAAGCCATTTCAAACAAACTGTGACCATCGTAGTTTTGCTCAGTTGCAGTAACATCCCGCCCAACAAACATAGTGCACTGTGGTTCGCCCACCAAACCATACAAGTTTATTTATCAAGTGCTTTTAAAAACAGCATGTGAGCTGACATAAGCACCTCACAGGTTACAGTAATTATACTAGAACAACAAGCCATTACAACAAAGAAATAAGCATTAAAGATAAAACAAAGGACAGCCGATAGAAACCAGGTAAAATACTAAAAAGCAATAAAAAAGGCTAAAATATTGCATAGTGGAGATGCATGAGTCGATAAAACAGATAAAAACCCTAAAACTTTAAATGTTCATGATTTAAAAGTGAGATCATAAAAGTGGGCTTTAAACCTGGATTTAAAAACCGCAACTGTAGGTGATTGGCAGATTGTGATGGGCTGAACATGCCACAGTTCAGGGGCAGCATGCACAAAAGCCCGTTCCCCTGTAGATCATTGTGGGTTTAAAGAGCAGCAGGCGGTCAACCAACCGCAGCGGGTGCATTGGCACGTATGGCTTAAGCAACTCAGACAGATATCTGGGTGCCAGATCATTCAGTGCTTTAACCCACCAAACCAACAGGGTGCTGTGATTGGCCCACCAAACCGACAGAGCACTCTGATTGGCCCACCAAACCAACAGAGCACTGTGATTGGCCCACCAAACTGACAGAGCGCTGTGATTGGCCCACCAAACTGGCAGAGAGCTGTGATTGGCCCGCCAAACCAATAGAGTGCTGTGATTGGCCCATCAAAAAAACAGAGCACTGTGATTGGCCCACCAAACCAACAGAGTGCTGTGATTGGCCCACCAAACCGACAGAGCACTGTGATTGGCCCACCAAACCGACAGAGCACTGTGATTGGCCCACCATACCAACAGAGCACTGTGATTGGCCCACCAAACCGACAGAATGCTGTCATGGGCCCACCAAACCAATAGAGTGCTGTGATGGGCCCACCAAACCGACAGAGCACTGTGATTGGCCCACCAAACCGACAGAGCACTGTGATTGGCCCACCAAACCAATAGAGTGCTGTGATGGGCCCACCAAACCAATAGAGTGCTGTGATTGGCCCACCAAACCGACAGAGCACTGTGATTGGCCCACCAAACCGACAGAGCACTGTGACTGGCCCACCAAACCAATAGAGTGCTGTGATGGGCCCACCAAACCGACAGAGCACTGTGACTGGCCCACCAAACCAATAGAGTGCTGTGATTGGCCCACCAAACCGACAGAGCACTGTGATTGGCCCACCAAACCAATAGAGTGCTGTGATGGGCCCACCAAACCAATAGAGTGCTGTGATTGGCCCACCAAACCGACAGAGCACTGTGATTGGCCCACCAAACCAACAGAGCACTGTGACTGGCCCACCAAACCAATAGAGTGCTGTGATTGGCCCACCAAACCAACAGAGCACTGTGATTGGCCCACCAAACCGACAGAGCACTGTGATTGGCCCACCAAACTGACAGAATGCTGTCATGGGCCCACCAAACCGACAGAGCACTGTGACTGGCCCACCAAACCAATAGAGTGCTGTGATGGGCCCACCAAACCGACAGAGCACTGTGATTGGCCCACCAAACCGACAGAGCACTGTGATTGGCCCACCAAACCGACAGAGCACTGTGATTGGCCCACCATACCAACAGAGCACTGTGATTGGCCCACCAAACCGACAGAATGCTGTCATGGGCCCACCAAACCGACAGAGCACTGTGACTGGCCCACCAAACCAATAGAGTGCTGTGATGGGCCCACCAAACCGACAGAGCACTGTGATTGGCCCACCAAACCGACAGAGCACTGTGATTGGCCCACCAAACCAATAGAGTGCTGTGATGGGCCCACCAAACCAATAGAGTGCTGTGATTGGCCCACCAAACCGACAGAGCACTGTGATTGGCCCACCAAACCGACAGAGCACTGTGACTGGCCCACCAAACCAATAGAGTGCTGTGATAGGCCCACCAAACCGACAGAGCACTGTGACTGGCCCACCAAACCAATAGAGTGCTGTGATTGGCCCACCAAACTGACAGAGCACTGTGATTGGCCCACCAAACCAATAGAGTGCTGTGATGGGCCCACCAAACCAATAGAGTGCTGTGATTGGCCCACCAAACCGACAGAGCACTGTGATTGGCCCACCAAACCAACAGAGCACTGTGACTGGCCCACCAAACCAATAGAGTGCTGTGATTGGCCCACCAAACCAACAGAGCACTGTGATTGGCCCACCAAACCGACAGAGCACTGTGATTGGCCCACCAAACCGACAGAATGCTGTCATGGGCCCACCAAACCGACAGAGCACTGTGACTGGCCCACCAAACCAATAGAGTGCTGTGATGGGCCCACCAAACCGACAGAGCACTGTGATTGGCCCACCAAACCGACAGAGCACTGTGATTGGCCCACCAAACCAATAGAGTGCTGTGATGGGCCCACCAAACCAATAGAGTGCTGTGATTGGCCCACCAAACCGACAGAGCACTGTGATTGGCCCACCAAACCAACAGAGCACTGTGACTGGCCCACCAAACCAATAGAGTGCTGTGATTGGCCCACCAAACCAACAGAGCACTGTGATTGGCCCACCAAACCGACAGAGCACTGTGATTGGCCCACCAAACCAATAGAGTGCTGTGATGGGCCCACCAAACCAATAGAGTGCTGTGATTGGCCCACCAAACCGACAGAGCACTGTGATTGGCCCACCAAACCGACAGAGCACTGTGACTGGCCCACCAAACCAATAGAGTGCTGTGATGGGCCCACCAAACCAATAGAGTGCTGTGATGGGCCCACCAAACCAATAGAGTGCTGTGATTGGCCCACCAAACCGATAGAGCACTGTGATTGGCCCACCAAACCGACAGAGCTCTGTGATTGGCCCACCAAACCAATAGAGTGCTGTGATGGGCCCACCAAACCAATAGAGTGCTGTGATTGGCCCACCAAACCGATAGAGCACTGTGATTGGCCCACCAAACCGACAGAGCTCTGTGATTGGCCCACCAAACTGACAGAGCACTGTCATGGGCCCACCAAACTGATAGAGTGCTGTGATTAGGGTTAGGGTTAGTGCGGGGGTTCCAATGGAATGTGTCTAGACTGACATGCAGAGCAAAATCCGTTTGCTTCAGTAGCTGATGTTCTAGATTTGTAGGCTGAATCTGATTAGGACTAAAGGTTGAATATGGAACACGAATACCAAAGGGACATCTAGTGTGTGGAGGTTGTAGCTGCTTCCATCCGTCGGGATGCCAGGTTCGCTGCCTATTCGTGAACTTGTTTGAGTCCATCTGTTGCAGGCTTCACCTAAACCCAGCCTGGTTTTAGATCTTTTATGGTCACTCCTCTTCTGAGAAGGAACGACATTTTCTGGGCTCAGAAGCAGCTGCTTGACTTGTCGAGTCCTCCATTTTCCACAGGGACAGCCTCCCACTGTCGAGCGGACTGTTTGGCAAACCTCAATGATGTCCTCTAGTAGCTGGTAGATAACCCAGTGTTGAGCCCGTCAAAATAAACATTTGATTGTTTTGTAATTAAAACATAGCTTTTAAAGGAAATACTGTAGCTTCATTCTGAACAAACACCCTGTGGAATTATTCAACTAAAAATATAGCTTTTTATCTAATTGTTTCATATTCAAACTTTAACGTCACCTTTTAGCCTCCAAACACATCAAGGGAGATTGCACTGCCCTCTAGTGTTCAGATAGTAAATTGAACTCTTTCCTGTTCACTGCAGACCATCTTCTCCTCTGAGTTTGCTGCCTGAACGACCTGACAGAGGTACTTCTTGTCTGTTATCTTCTTACTGTCTGTGTTTTCATCGTCGTCTGGATGCTCACTTTATTCTACAATCAAGGAATAAGACCCAAGTCCACACTGCTGTGAATTTTCTAAGAAAACAATAACAAGTTTGAGTGCCTAAAATAAGGTTTTAGTTGTAGGATTCAGCTGTTTATCGTTTGAATGAGCAGCAGACGTTGCAGTAAAATGAAACAATCTTACGTGTCTGTGGTCTCCACACCTGTTTTAGTGCATTGAATATGTTTTTCCTGCTCTGAGGTTTTCGACGGACGGAAAGCGAAAATAGCTCCTCACACTTTCTCCATCCGGCCAGCAAAGCTCCGCAGAACGGATCTCCTATCAATCAGCGGTCTCAGAGCTTTGAGAGTGATAGCAGAGGCCCCGCCCCTCAGCCGCTTCCTCGCAGATCATTGGTGAGATCACAAACAAACAAACAAACAAAACAAACCAAGAGTTCGTCACAATTTTTCTCACAAATACCTCGTGGATTTGACCTTATTTAAATGTGTAAAATACATTTTTCTACAGTTTCCTTGTTTAAAGTTTGTTCGTTTAACAATAATTTATGTCAAATTTAAGCCTCGGGGGGCAGCCAGCTGCCGGGCTCAGGCGCTGTATGACTGCCAGGCGGACCACCATGATGAGCTGAGCTTCTCTGAGGGTCAGGTCCTGGTGGTCCTGGGACAGGAGGACAGTGATTGGTGGGTACGTATCACCATCCTCTCCTCTGATTGGTCCTCTCTGACAGTGAAGATGCCATGAACATGTTTGTTTTTGTGCTCTGGTGCTTTTTCAGCATGGTTACGTAGAAGATGAACCCGACCAGAAAGGTCTGTTCCCATCCTCCTTCGTCCAGCTGCTCTCTGATTGATGTCAACCAGGTCCAGATCTTCAGGTCAGCACAAACCCAGATCAGGTCAGAGGTTCCAGAAACAGAACCTGGTGCTAATGAGAACCAGACCAGATCACCACACCTGATAGGTGCTGCACCAGGGCTGCGAGGATCATCCAGCCACTGTTGTCACAACCACCACAGGTCTTTCTTTTTTGTTTGTTTGTTTGTTTTGGGTAACCATGGAGACGTAAAAGCCAGAGGACAGCATTGACTTGAAGCCTGCAGTTCGTCCCTGATGTCCTTATTTATCTATATCTATCTTATTTAACATAAAAAGTTAGTTTAAAATCTCTGAAGCAGCTGGCTTTTATTTTCAGGTTGAGATGACAACCTTTCTCCATTCAAGCTTATTTATTTTTCCTTATGTGTTGATTCTGTGAAAAAGTCGTAGAACCAGCAAACACTGTCAGATGTCAGACTCATTTTCCAAAGGAAACTTCAGACCAAAGGTCTAAATTCCTGTAAAATCTGTCTTTAGAACAGAATAAGTTAAAAAAGAAACCTGATGAGTTGAAGCCTGGAATTAAAATTCATCTGATGCCTCCAGCTGCCTTTGAGTCGCCATCACACCTCAGAGGAAACAGTTTTGCTGCAGAATTAGTTTAGAAATGGTCTTGTTAACATATGAATATTTGTCTCATAAGAAAACTGTCAAACAGTTCTACAGAAATGCTGGCATATCAGCCAGTGACAAGACAAGAACTGCATAAATCCTGGAGTACAAGTCCGTCTGAGCCAATGGAAATGTACTTCATGTAAAAACCATTGTATTTTTTGAACGAGGGAATGTGATTCGTGTTTAAGAGCACAAGTAAAGTGAAAATGATTCCTTTTGTTCAGCTATACATTAATTCATGGCAGTTTCTGTTTTCCCAAGTTATAAATGATTTGCAACATTTGGAATAAAACATCAACCAGATCATTCGGAACAAGAACTACGATGTTTGAAATGTGACAAACAGCAGACATGGTGCCCGTCTGATTGTATGTTTTGTAAGCCGAAGATTTTAGCGTATTTTGTTGTATTATTTATATTTTGTAAAAAAAAACAACAACCACATTTCTCTAATTATTAATTCTGTATAGCACTTACATGTTTGAAACAAATGAATTCAGCGAATGACACTGAGCATACGGTACGTGTTGAGATGCATAGATGTGTGTGCAGAAAAAAAAACCCTACAAGCAGTTTTCTCTAAATGAATGCAGCTCAACAACATGATGAAAGATCTGCTGTCAAATCATCTTTCTTACCTTCAGACAGAAAAAAGATTAAACTTGACTGAATATTATTCTGTACGTTTCTTCTGATTTTGTATTTGAACGTGTCACATCTCACCTTGTGTACATCGCCCGTCCTCTTTAGAGAAACTGAGATTAGATCAAAGGTAATTTCATTTACTTTTACATGAAATTCTTTGAGTTTGTAAAAAAGTAATCTCATAATAATTCATGAAATATGAAATTTATGGACAACTAAAGGTTACAAGAGTTTTTTGAGACTAGAATTGTTGAAAGACATTTTGAAACTGGGACCAGTTATTTGTTTTTCTGCTCGGTGGGGTCAACTCTCTGTTTCTCCACACTGAGGCCATTCACAGAGCTACCTATAATAGTTATTTAATCATATTTTTCTACTAAACCCCAGTCCCAAACATGTGAACTCTTACTTTAAACAAATTTAGCAAAAATCTAACACTCAACATTCAAGTTTTAATCTTTTATTCTACCCATCTACCTTCGGCCGCTTATCTGGGTTCGGGTCGCGGGGCAGCAGCCTAAGCAGGGAGGCCCAGACCACCCTCTCCCCAGCCACTTGGGCCAGTTCTTCCGAGGGAATTCCAAGGTGGCCATCCGAGATACATAGTCCCTCCAACGTGTCCTCCTTTAGGTCTCCTCCCAGTTGGACGTGCCCGGAAAACCTGACCAGGCGGCGTCTACGAGGTATCCTGACTAGATGCCAGAGCCACCTCAGCTGGCTCCTTTCGATGTGGAGGAGCAGCGAATCTACTCCAAACCCCTCCCGGATGACCGAACTTCTCACCCTATCTCTAAGGGAGAGCCCAGCCACTGTGGAGAAAATTCATTTCTGCTGCTTATATCCGCAATCTCGTTCTTTCGGTCACTACCTAAAGCTCGTGAACGTAGATTGACCGGTATATCGAGAGCTTCACTTTCTGGCTCAGCTCTCTCTTTACCACAACAGATCGGTACAATGCCCGCATCACTGCAGATGCAGTGCCAATCCGCCTGTCGATCTCTCGCTCCATCTTTCCCTCACTCAGGAACAAGACCTTGAGATGTTTAAACTCCTCCACTTGGGGCAGGACCTCATCCCTGACCCGGAGAAGGCATTCTACCCTTTTCCGACTCAAGACCATGGTCTCAGACTTAGAGGAACTGATTCTCATCCCAGCTGCTTCACACTCGGCTGCGAACCGCTCCCGTGAGAGCCGGAGATCTCGTTCCGATGAAGCCAACAGAACCACATCATCTGCAAAAAGCAGAGACCTGATCCTCAGGCCACCAAAACAGATGCCGTCCACACCTTGGCTGTATCTAGAAATCCTATCCATAAAAGTTATGAACAGAATTGGTGATACAGGGCAGCCTTGGCGGTGTCCAATTCGCACAGGGAACAAGCTCGACTTACTGCCGGCAATACGGACCAAGCTTTCATAAAAGTCATACAGGGACCTAACAGCCTGTATCAGAGGGCCTGGTACCCCATAATCCTAAAGTACCCCCTACAGGACGCGGTCAAACGCCTTCTCCAAATCCACAAAACACATGTAGACTGGTTGGGCAAACTCCCACGCACCCTCCAGGATCCCCTTAAGGGTATTGAGCTAGTCTAGTGTTCCACGGCCAGGACGAAAACCACATTGCTCCTCCTGAATCTGAGGTTCGACAATCTGCCAGACCCTTCTCTCCAGAACCCCTGGATAGACCTTACCTGGGAGGCTCAGAAGTGTGATCTCTCTGTAGTTGGAACACACCCTGCGATCCCCCATTTTTAATAGGGCACTGATCTGCCAATCCAGTGGATGTTCATGTGATATTGCCGCTTCAGCCAACACAACCCAACAACATACAGAGCCTTAAGGAGCTCCAGACGGATCTCATCCACCCCCGGAGCTTTGCCACGAGGAGCTTTTTGACCACCTCGGTGACCTCAGCACCAGACATAGGACAGCCCAACTCAAAGTCCTTGGACTCTTCTTTGTCACTGGAAGACGTGCCGGTGCGATTGAGAAGGTCTCCGAATATTCCGCCCACCGATCCACATCCTGAATCACAGTCAGCAGCACACCGTCCCCACTGCAAACAGTGTTGGCACACTTATTTTCCCACCTGAGACGCCAGATGTTGGACCTGAATCTCCTCGAAGCCGTACGGAAGTCTTGCTCCACGGTTTCACCAAACCACTCCTATGCCTGGGTTTTTGCCTCTATGACCACCTGGGCTGCATTCCGTTTACCCGCTGCCTCTAGAGTCCCAGAGGCCAGAAAAACCTGATAGGAATTTTTCTTCAGCTTGACAGCATTCCTAACAGTCGGTGTCCACTAGCGGGTTCAGGGATTGCTGCTACGACAGGCACCGACGACCCTGTGGCCACACCGCCTCCACAATGGAAGCACAGAACAGGGCCCACTCGGTCTCATTGTCTCCCGTCTCCCCCGAAACATTTAGGAAGCTCTGTCAGAGGTAGGAAATGAAACTTCTTCCGACAGGAATCTCCGTCAAACATTCGCAAACCCTCACAATACGTATCTTGACTGGCTTCCTCCCCCACTACCGAAGCCAACTCACCACCAGGCAGTGGTCAGGTGACAGCTCCTCCTCTTCAGGCTGTGCCCGGCCGGGCTCCATGGGTAAAAGGCCTGCCAGCAGGTGCTCACCACATGCCCCACCTCCAGGCCTGCCTCCAGAGGTGTGAAGTCTCAGATAACTTAGCTCTTAGGATCATTGGGACACTGAAACCCCTCCACCGCAGTCAGGTGGCAGCCCATGGAGGGGAACTTTTAATCTAATAAATAATTTAATCTCTCACTTTAATTAGTTAACTTCTTGTAAAGGTTCATCACCTTTAATAGTTTTACGACCTAAAACAAAATAAATGTTTCATGATTTGATTCACAAGCCAATGAATACATTTTAAACAGACTTTTATGCTGCTTAAACTGGAGCTTCTCAAACATCCCTTTTACAAGCCTGACTTATTTTACAGCAACAGCAGAGCAGCTCCGTTCTGACACGGAGCTGCTCTTTATTTGAAGATTTGTCTTTTCTTAATCGTTGGAAATAAAAAATGAATTTCACACACAAACAACTTGGTCTAAACGTGGCTTCCACTCCTGGTTTCAGTAGCATTTTGTCTTTTCCGTAAGAACAACATACATTTGTTTTGTTTCAATGTGGTTTTTATTTTATTCAAAGTAAGTGTTAAATACATGTTTTTGTTCTGGTAAAAGGTCACAGTGCTCTTCTCTGTTTGGCATCAACATTTTGTGAGTTGGTGTGTAAAAGGGCTAAGAGCTGAATTAAAGCTGAACACGTTGTCTGGGCAGCAGCTGTTGCTTCATACAGATGTTCACTAAGGGATTTCTGCACATCTGCTGATTATTTCCACCTGCACTCTCATGCATCCCTGATTCTCATACAATCTACTGCATGAAATTTGATGTAAAATCTGAAGAAACCACGTTTCAGCGAAAATGTGAAAAGCAAAGGGTTAAAGCAACAAAAAAAAAACCATATTAAACTTGTTCCTGCTCAGGTGAAGCGAGGTGATGACACAGCGGCAGCCTCCAGCAGGTAATCCAGCATTATGATCATTTATTAGTTTTTTTCTGGCAGGTCTAGCAGTATTTTGGAATATTATTAATCGCCATCTAATATTTATCAGGGACATCAACTGAACAGGGATGAGACAGTCGTGGGAAGCAGTAAATTCAATCATCTAAACCTGATTCTGCAAACAGATTTGTTGGATGTTGAAACCAAGAAAAGTGGAGCTTTTTACTCACATATTAGACTCCATCTGAATTGCTTTGATTTTTTTCTTCTGTGAAACAAATATCCTCATTGTTCTAACAAAATGCTGAAATACCACCATCCCGCCACTAGAGGGCACACATGTCCACAACAGTGATTTTAAATTCAAAGAACGGACATTTTTTTGAATGATATTTATGATTTCTGCTCCGCATCATTAGAATTTAATGTTGACCGGATTGGGATGAAGAGGGAAATGTTGGTTTTGTTTTTAAGGCACAAAGGAACAGTCGGTGTGAGTGAAGAAGGCTGTAGGTCAAACATCTTCTGAAAAAGGTACCTCCTGTTCACACACAGGTGTCAAACAGTTTGAAAAAGTTTGTTTTCCTCAATAAAACTCAAGTTTGTTAGACTAGAGGTGCAATCGCAGTGAGAAAGGGGTTAGGGTAAACCGGTCGTCCAAATTCACTAAATGCACGTTAAGTGATCTTTTACTAACCTGAGTAAGACTCTCAGCTCAGGATGTTCTAATATCTTCTTTCTTAATGGTAAAACAATCTAATCAAACCAACTTGATAGGTTTTCTGTTAGAAGAACAAAAAAAGGCACAACATTTCCAAATGAACACATTTAAATCTAAATAACTTATTCCCAATGGTCCCACAGTTAACCACCTTGTTCACATGCATTCATAAAAGGCACATTCCAACAGCTGAAAGCAGTCAGGCACTAAAGATTTCTTCAAAGAAAGCTGAAAACTCAAAAGTTTAAACTGTGACACAAACATAAAAGTGTGTTAGTCAGCAGAAATACATTCACGGTGCAGCAGCTGGCCTCCAGGCCTGCTCCTCTCGCTGGTGTCTCTGCATGCATGTTTTTCCTTTTGGTTGAACTGAAACTGCACTTTAGTTTTGTTACGACATGCTGAACACCGATGTGTCATGATCGTTACGCTCGTAGCTGAATAAATCTTTAAACTTGTGGTTGTCTCCTTCGTGTTTGTCGTTACGGACTGGGTTCATCATGTCCAGCCATCTTGAGCTTCCAGCTTTGGTCTAAAACTCTCTGAGCTCAGAACTTTTTCTCATTATGATGCTCATGTTGCTTATCACGACTGTTTATCGGTAAACAGAACTGCCCTGTGGCTCTGTCCCACTCAGCCCCTCACCTCCAGGCACAAACGTACAAACAGCATTTTCCTAAAAACCAGCAGACTCGGACGTCCTCACCATCTCTCTCTATGGAGAAGCATCAGGGTTGTGGATTTCTGGGCTTCATTTGTGCTCTAAAATAGAAAAACGGTGAACCGATCTTCCTAGGGTGCATGCTAAAGCAAGACGTGGCCGTCCAAGAGAATAATCAATGAAGTTTAGTTTATCCTGTTTCCTAAACTGAAGCAAAATATGAATAAATGTCTCTGTTGACTAAAGCTTGTGGCAGACCACAGTCACCAAGAATAGAGGCCGACTGATATTGGTTTCTATTGCTGATGCCGATGCAGATGTGTAAGAGACACGATCAGCCGATGTGTACTGCTGACTTTTATGGGCCCATCTCCATGGCTTATATGCAGACAATGTCGACCTTATTTCATGCTAAAATATCACTAATAACATCAGTTGATGCACAAAATTTCTGAATCAGAATCAGTTTTTTACTCTGAATTTAACAAACTGTTAAATCCTAACTTTGTGCACTGCTCAGTGTTAAAGTCAGACACCTAGAAAAAGTTAATTTAGAGTATTTATTATACAGATGTTATTAGTGAATGTAAAATTACATTTAAATTAAATTCTGCATCAGCACCGGGCTGCCCGAGGACATGCCTGACTTTAGATCAGCTTTACTGAGGACAAATATCATCTGATGCTGTTGCATAAAAACAGCAAATATCGGTCTACCCCTAACTGTGACATAATAATAAACACGGATGTCTGATTGTTCCAAGGAAAGATAAAAGTTTTGTATCACATAAAACCAAGAAACAATGAGCTTCCTGAAGCTAGCCACCTAGCAGGCTGTTGTTCAGCTAGCATTGTTGCAAGTTCCCACATGCCAAAACAGTGGCAAGAAACGGAGTCAACAGGTGGGCCACAGAGATAAGATTGGACCCACACTGTGGCACACTGAACTTGCTCATGCGAGTAAAATCAGCCAAAAGACAAGAAGGAGGGGCCCAACTGAACAACACGCACCCAAGCTGGGACAGAAGAAGACCAACTGAAGATAAAGCATCTCAGAAGAGGACAAGCCCTCCATGGAAAGTTCTGGACTTTGGGGGGAGCTGAAGACCAGTTTACAAATGTGACATCATATGGGTTTGGCTGTCTTGTGTTGAGCTAAGGTAAGAAACTGACAAATGATCACACTGTTTTGCTGTCTCATGACTGTTTGAGATATTGCTTGGCAGTTGTTTAGAATAGTATAAAAAGAGCAGCTAGAAGCAGAGCTGGAACAGTTGGGGCAGTCGACAGTGGAGAGACAAGTCGTTGGGGAGAGAAGGAGAGAGTCGTACCTAGAGTTAGAGAGTGACAGGTTGGTGTTGACACAAGTCAACCATTTATTCTCAGGAAGATTTTAGCATTAACATCCTCCACAGGGGATAGGTTAGTTTTATATTTACTTATTTTTTGTATTTTGCAATTTTTTAAATAAATTTTTGGAAAAAGAAACCTCATTCTTGATTCTTAAAGGTCCTTTTTATAGGTTTGAGTGGGGGGCCCTGACCATCATCTCCTCTTTTGGAGGTAAGCTACCTTGAATAGCTTGTTCCTGTACGGCAGGACTTGTTTACAGGTTGTGACAGATTAAGAAAAGAAAACCTTAACTGAGGGAGAAATCCCCCCCCCCCCCCCCTTCTCGGTAGCGGGACATCCTAAGGACTATAGTTCATGACGGTTCGTTGGTTCAAACAGGCTATTTTTGCACTAAAAGTCTTTGTTTAGTGGGAAGGGTGGATTAATTAGATTAATTGATAAATGTATGTTAGTCTGGCCAACTAATAAGAATCATTTTCTAGTTACCACCGCCCACAAATGCTGACAGAGGCGCAAATTAATCCTGATAGGACCCAAATAATAATCACAAAGATGGCCTCATTGTGAACTTTGCCCTAGTATTTAAAACCAATAAATAACGGGAGAAACTAAAAAAAAAGTGGTGTTATCACGGAAGAACAAGTAGGACAAATTTCATTTCACCTTAAACTAGAAGGTGAGTCCTAATTAAAGGTGCGTGGTCCAAACCAGGGTCTAGTACAATAATACTCACCTGCGGCCCCAACTTCCCTGAGAAAGCAGCGTATTCTAAGGTTCTAACGGAACCAGGTTTTAAAGGAACCAACAAATAGGACACGCTCGCTACAGCATACCAGTGAATTTAACACATTAAGCTGATGAGCATCAACGATCTGGTCTTCAGTGATTTTCTCCATCAGACATGAGTGACATTTGATGAGTCTTCTCCTTTGTGATCTGAAGTTCCATGCCTCCTAGTCTGGCATTAGGTACATCTACGAGGCGTGGCCTCTGACAGTTCTGATGGCTCCTCAAAGACACCAGCTGTTGGAGCCTCCAAAGGTTTTCAACAGCTTCCCAAGGAATTGCTTCAGCACTGACTGCTCTCTGTTTAAACGTGCAGTTAGCGGTGGCGGCTTATCCGAATTAGCAACGGGAACTAAAGAGGGTGGGGCTTAGTGGGAACTGAGCCACGCATCATTTGTTATTGATTCAGGACTTCTTCTAAACACATCGTGCATAACGGAGTAAAGGTGAGATGAATATTTGCAGACAGATGAATCATGTAAACGGTGAACCACGGGACGAACCCAACACGGGCCTCTTCCACAGCTTATCAAGAAGAAATTATTGTCTCGCATTTCAAATACTTCGGTTCTGATCCCAGATCCAGTCCTTCTGGCACATGATGGGTTTAACAATTAAACACACTGGATGGAATAAACTGATCTTATGCAGTTGGTGGGCGAAACAACCGTATGGCCTCCTCCCACATCTCCTCATCAAATCAAAGTGCTTCAATAAAAAAGAAAAGTAACATAATGTCTATGAAACAGGATAAAAAACATTTTAAAACACCTGTGGTTGTTTCCAGCTCAGAGCAAAACTTGTGGTCAATCCCATTAATCACAGACTGCAGGACAGTCCGTCAAGCGCCCCCCTAACAAAGCCTTGGTAAACCTTCTTCATGACCCAAAAGGAGTCTCCACAGGACATCTGTATCTGATCTTGGATCAGCAGGTGTGTGAAGCTGCTCCACATTCACGCCTGTGTTCACAGATGATTAAGCTCAACAGCATGCTGAACCAAGCCTGGCTTCACCCAGCTCAAGGCAAGTGTGGTTTTAAAAGTTAAAAATAGAGTTTTTATTTCTGTGTGAAAACACCCAAAGACTGGCTCAGATTTGGTTGTTTGGGCTCTCCAGTCACCAGCTGAGTGGTCATGTTAAAGGTGGAGGCTAATCTTGCCTTCCTTGGCGAGCCGGTGGATGATTTCTGTCTCATAGTCGGCACTGTGGACTCCGGTCTTCCTGAAGGCTCCGGCGTAGCGGTTTTCCTCCCAGTAGTGATGCCAGTTCCCCTGCTGGTCAGCACCGTAACCAAACACCGACACCTGGAGGAAAAAAAAGTTGTGTAAAGGCCAGAGACGTGTTCGACATTAAAACAAACCAAACCGTCTCCTACCTGGTCACAGGTGTGCAGAGCAAAGATGATGGTCAGCATGCCAGTAGACGGGTAACGACCGTGATGCTCAGTCCAATTATCATGAACATACTTAAAAAACACAGGATTCACCACCAGAACCTACACACACACACACACACACACACACACACACACACACACACACACACACACACACACACACACACACACACACACACACACACACACACACACACACACACACACACACACACCATCTTAGTTGCTACGCTCCGTCGCATCATCCCATCCACCAAACCCACAGAGGGCTGTGATTGGCCTGACACAAGACTGTTCAGGCTAATGGAAGACCTGCTGAGGCTGCAGACCAAATACCATTGAGGCTTTATTTGTTCTTGACTGGAAAAATCTTTTTGTGGTTGTTTGACAGGATCCATTACATCCGGTGTTCTACTGTGGTTTCAGGGAAGGAGCCTGAACAAAGGGTGTTGGACATTGTGGCCATTCCTCAATATGCATACTTGTCTGTACTTATGTACTGCAGTCCTTGTGAAACGTCATAAACGATGGTCCAAGGACTGTTCCAATGCTAAGTATGCATCATGGTAGCTCAAAGTTCCCAGGTGTGTTCTTGCTCCTCCCACTGTATCGAGGATGCATCAATGCATCCTTCTGCGGACTTGGAACAGCAAAGTTTCCCATAATGCATTGTGTTGCAACCATTAAACTCTGAGTCGGAAGAGAAATCTAATAACTGTACAGTTTTATATCAGAAATACTATTAAAGAAATATTCAGTTGTCTGTTATTGTAAATAATTGTGAGCAACCTGTAAATTTTGCTGTTGCCGGGTTTTACTTTTCATACTTTTAAGCACTGACAAAAGACCCATGTCTTTAAAAATGTAGCTTGTTTAAAAAGCAGTTTCCAGGAAGTTTGACCCTACACTCTGCACCTGGCAGGAATCCGACCAAATTATTTAGAGCAATTTTCACTGAATGGAATGGAACGGTTGGTCAGTCGGTTGGTCATCACACTGGTGAAATGACATCTCCCATGGGGAGTGGTGAGCTAAAGCAGTGGCCACGCTCAGGAACTGTTTGGTTTAACCCACCAATCCAGCACCTTAAGGCTGAGCGTCAGGCGGGGAGGCATTGGGTCCCATTCCTAAAGTCTTTGGTATGACCCAACTGGATTTGAACCACAGTCACCCTGCACCATTTCAGACACTCTACTACTAGGCCACTGAGAAGGTGTTGCAGTGGTCCCTCGTAGGAATGAATGCCAAGTCAGCTGAAGGAGAAAGCAGCTTCAGATGACAGGATCTGGTCTCTTATTTCCTGAAATGTGGACATCTCTCTTCTGATTGGCTAACAGCAACACAACTCTACCGCTGACTCGGTTTGCTCTGCAACGTTGATGTTTTATCTCCTCCAATAACAACCCTGGAGGAGTTCTGCTGTGTGGTGGGGTTGATAATGCTAACGGTTAGCTTCTACTAACTGAAACGCTCTCTGCTGTTTCCTGGACGCTAAACCAACAACAGCCTTCCCCGTCTTGAGTGGAGATGGGTGAGTCCATGAAGCTTTTATATCGTGAAAATTCAACATTTCTGAGCTTTTAAATAATGCGATATTGTCGTTTCCTCATGAGAAATACCCTCAAACCCTTTTTTGGCTGCATTCCTGTATTTTCCTGCCTCAGCTTCAATTTGTTTTAATTTAATTTCAGGCCTGCATCCAGGAGAAAATAGCTCAAGTGTGTCAACAGGCATTGCTCATCCCCCTGAAGCTTGTGTTGGACCAGGAACCCACCTTCCCTGGAAGCAGGTCACTAATGCCAACTTTCTCCTAGTTTCTATCAGAAGCTAAAGCAGGAGATAGGTGTAGGAGACTATTTTCATGTTCAGCCTGCTTGAAAATGTCAGAGTGACCCATTAGAATCAGAAATACTCATTAAAAATCTTTTTTCAGTGAACCACCTCTTTAAGATTGTCAGGTTGAAGGTTTTGTCCATCTAAATAAATCAAAATAAATTAAATCATACAGGAAAAAAAGGTTTAAATGAAATGCTGTGAAATGTGCATTTCATAGGAAAAGAATAAAGGGTTTATTTACCTTGTCTTTATCGGCCTTCACTCTGTCTTTAACCCTCATGTAGGTCCTGTAAACACAATTATTCACTTTCAGAATTATTTTATGCAAACAGATCAACACTCCTATACTCCAATAGGTTCATATTCATGTTTTTCTACACCCAAAATATCAAACTGATGGATACCTCCTCATCTATGGATAACACTTAAAAATCTGTTTAGTTCAGGTTGATGCAGAATTTTAGTGATGTCTGTCATTATATGAAGCATTTATTTATTTACATATCTGGCAGATTGATTATTTTTGTACATTTTGACTTCGCCGGTGGACAGCGCACTGGTCAGCCACTCCAGGTCTCTCAGTTTGAACGGCAGCAGGATGAGGCTGACACCTGGAGCCACATCCACCGCGCTCTCCGGGTACAGAATGTGATGTGTGGTCCGATTCCCCACGTCTTTCTCAAAGCCTTGCGTCACTGCTTTGTTCATTCTGGAAGAAGAGAAAGATGAGAGTTTCTGGGCTTTTATGCATCTGCGTACATTAATGTGGACATACGCACCGGATCACAAAGCTGTGTGAGTCTATCAGTTTGCCGTGGCCAGACCTCCGCAGGTTGCCAGAGTTGCCGACCACGGCACATCTACGGCAGCGGGAGGGGTGGGGCGTGGTGTCCAGAGTGGGCGGGGGAATGATCTGGAACATTTTCGACACCACGCCCTCTAAAGTCTTATCTTTACCTGACTGCTGAAGACTCTGGAGCACAAGACAGGATTTAGTTAGAAGGACACCAGCTGACTTTAGAGACATCCTCTGATATGTTACAGATGATCACGTAAGCTCAATTCCTAACGGAAAGGATCCAGTAAAACAAAAACAAACACTCAGCCCTGCAGAGAAGCTCCTACAGTTTCTGCAAACCTTGAATCAGTGAAGATGTTTGCAGCATTTCCCCCTCCCCCTCTGTTTAATCTACTAATGGTTTCTACAGCCAGACACGATCCATAAATGCAGGAAAGAGACTAGAGATCATTTTCTCCTCGCGTAGACTGCTGGCAGCTTCCAAAGGAGAAAAATCAGACGTGTTTCCACGACACGTTGAGACCGCAGGCTGAATGTAGGACATTACACCAAATCCTCCTTAACCCTCTCAGGCTCAAAATAAGTTTTGATAAAAGGACGGACAACTAAGTCCTTCAGGGGTACTTCTGAGTTTAAAAAGTGCTCATGGAATACGTATGCGGAGTAACCAGGTAGGTAGGTTTTAACTGTTGCAAGTCTGCAGGGCCTGCCTCCAGAGGGTTAAGTCTGTCAAAGTAATTTCTGTTTGAGCGTTTGAACGCAGACCAGGAATCGGTTTTCAGTGATCTGCTTGAAACGATTTCCTGTAAGAGGACTCAGACTCTTGATGCTCTCCGTTTAATTTAAAATACTTAAAAAAAAAATAAATGTTTATTTGTGATTTACTTAACTGGTAAAAAATGAAACAGAAAGGCTGTTCTCTAATGTTTTACAAAATAAAATGATTTTTGATAAATCAGAGTTCACACTCATAACAATCCAATCAATCCAATCCAGTTTTTCATTAATTTATTTGATTAATTACAAAAAAAAAAGATTTATGGTGAAGCGAGTCGTTTTGGATATCAAACCCTGAGCTAACGGCTGAGTAAATAAAGATGCTTATGTTTCTCCTCACCAGCCACCACGCGAGTGCATCTGGGTCAAAGTTGTTGGTGGCACGGAGGATGGGTTGCTGTTTTAGGTCGTAGCGTTTGGTGAACCAGTCAGACCAGTCCAGGTCCGAAACACAGGACTCGGAGCAACCACATGACCTGGTGGAGGATGACGTGGGAGGAGTTAAGATAAGAACCACAGAGAAAATGATAGGATATGAATCCTAGAGCATTACCGTGGGTTGTTCTCCTCGTCAGCATCGATGGTGTTGACAGGAGGTGGGGTCGAAGCGGGAGGAGCCACCGTGGGTTCCACAGCTGCAGGAAAATGCATTTAAAAATCCCTGACTAGGGATGTAATGGTAAATGGTAAAAGGCCTGTACTTGTATAGCCCCTTCTTAGGGTTCTACAACCCCCCAAGGCACTTCACAACACAATCTGCTGCCTCTTGGCCAGATCGTCGTTGTAAATGAGAGTGAGTTCTCAATCCACTCATCTGGGTAAAACAGGGTTAAATAAATTAATCAGTCATTCACCCATTCACATGCTGGTGGTGATGAGCTACATTGTAGCTACAGCTGCCCTGGGGCACACTGACAGATGTGAGGCCGCCGGGCCCTCTGACCACCACCAGCAGGCAAGGCAGATTAAGTGTCTTGCCCAAGGACACAACAGAAGCATTCTCTGGTCGGAGCCGGCATCGAAGCTGCAAGATTCCGATTACGGGATAACCTGCTCTCCCTCCAGCTGCTGCTGTCCTGGTCAAATTTAGGGCAAACCTTCAGGTTTTATAATCCACCTCGCAGTCCATAATCCTGGTCCTCAAGACAAGGGCCAAAATCACCTTTATGGGCCACAAACATGCGTTTTCATTTATAACATGGAATGATTATGTTATAGCAATTTTTGTATTTGTCCTGTTAAAAAGAGCCTAAATTAGAACAGAACAGACTACAGATCCCACAGCGGGGAAATTCCCTCCGTGTCTGTTTTGGTTGTTCCCACAAACCCGGCTCTTTATCCGGTCTGAGTTCTTTAGTGCACCCCCTAGGAGAACACTACAGTACTGCACACAGTGCAGTGTCATGTAGCAGCAAGTATGTGAACAATAACACAGCCTGCTGCCAGCGCCAACGCGAGGTTAATCAGCAAGTGTATCATGGCTCTTAACGAGAGACCAACCAACTGCTTTAGAGTTTGAAACCAGCTTTAAAAGTGAAGTCCCGTTCAGTAAAAGTCACAATAGTCTTCCCCTCCAGCTGATCCGTTTGGTTTGTTACTAGTTAGGAGTTTTGTAAACATAATAATCATAATATTACCTCTATTTTTGTTCTTTTTCACATTTCTGCTCCTTACCTGCCTCCTTGCTGGTGGGCGCGGCCCGGCTGTTGAGCTGAGCCAATGACAGTGGCTGGAAGTGCTTCCTATGGATGCTTTGGCTGGCCAGCATGAGAAGGAAGACTGCAGCGATCCCCAAGATGACATACAGCTTCCTCTTAAACAACATGACTGAGATTGGCGACAGGAGGGGGGGCAGAAGGAGACAGGAAGTGAAGTCGATGAACTGAGGGTTTATCAGTTATATGGGCATAGCTGTTGTCATCTAGCCATTTTCCTCTGCTCTTCTGTAGCGCCTTTCAGATTTATCATCATCAAGCAGGAGTTCAGCACTGCTTTCTAACTGGCGGAGGCAGGATCTATGGTCAAAGGCAGAAGAGCAGCATCGTTAGGTCTATTAGGATTATGACACCCCACATCCGTTTTTAAACCAGCTGTGGAAGAAGAGTGAATGATGACATCATCAACAACAAATGCACACTTCCTTTAGCTTGTACAACACAGATTAAGTAGCAGAGCCAAGTTCCTGATCTTTAGTGAAGAATGGAGGCCCCCTGTTCCTTCTGCCCCCTCCTCCTCCTCTACATCACCTCCCTCTGCTCCTGCAGGAATGCCCAACAGCAGACAAACTCTGTCTTTGAATACCAATCAGATCTGGAATAGTTTCAGATTCTCACATTTCAGCTTTTGGCTCACTTCTGTCTACTGTGCTGTGTGCACATTCTTATGGTGTGTGAAGTGTGTTTTGTCTTTAGGATTGTGTGACATGAAGGTTCACCACATAACATGAGGTCTAGATGGCCAAGATGGTAAAAAGTTGGTTAAAAGCATCAAGTCGCTGACTAGTGTCAGAGTCTTTACAGCAATCCTCATACTAAGCAAGCATGCAGCGACAGTGGAGAGGAAAACTCCCTTTGAACAGGAAGAAACCTCCAACAGAACCTGGATCAGTATGAGCAGCCATCCGCCATCACTCACCGATGGCACTAACATGCGCGTTATTGTTTGTAGAGAGCTTTAGGAAGGACAATCCTGAACTCTTTAGTTGTTTGAACAATTTCACAAAAGATCAGCTAATGTTCCTTCCTCTGCGAGATCAAATTAAACCATCTCAAGTGACGAGAAACTCATCTTATCCATCAAGGAAATGCCAGAAAAACATGTTTTATAGAAACTCCTGAAATAAGAAGAACCAATAATTATTGTCTTCTGAGCAAAACAAAAAATCTAGCTCCATCACATAGTTTTGTTAAAAAAGGAACAACGCCCAAGCTAAAACCTAATGAGGCAAACGAGTACCAGATTTATAGTCGTACAGACGGAGTTATGAGCCCTAAAATCATCCAGTCACAGAGCTTCATGTTCTACATGTACATTGCTTATAAAAGGTTAAAGGTCAGGCTTTATCAAGCCTGCAGACACATCCAGGTCACTTTTTGATGTTAAAATATATCCAGAGTCAACCAGTCGGTGGAAAACCGAACTCGAAGATCGACAAGAAAACAGTCTGAAGAGCCGGAATAAAAAAGCAGCAGTAGAAACAAATTCTAAAAGCATAATAACAATAACAAATACTTTATTCTTCTTATTTTGCAGATCGTTTCACTGCAGTCTTAAAGCTTCTGAGGTGATATACGACCCCTCTTTATTGTGTGCTGTAAACATCACTGGTAAGTGAAAAAAACAAAAAACAATCCCTGTTCCTAAAAGTCTCTTTCTTTAACAGTAGCCTTGTGTTTACCATAATGAGCAAAAACAGGTGTAATGAGCTGAAAGTATTTGTTAATGATGGATTAGTGGATTTAAAGGTCCCATAGTAGCAGTAGAAACGTCCTCGTTGTAAATCAGCCACAAAATTAAACCTTAAAACTAAAACTAAGTAACTTGCATCATTCACACAAAGCAGGTTAGACAAAACACCTGCAGAAGCACCGCCACCCCAGAGGAGCTGAAAGGACGGTGGAAGTGTCCTGACTGTCGGCTGAGTCAGAGGCTGCATGTTGTTTTAAAATTAGGAGGGTCGGGGGTGGGGTGGGGTGGGGGTGACAGAGGCCACGTGGTTTCCTTGTATCAGCACTCCTTCCTCTGGTTCTCATGGCCTTTGCCTCCTGGGTAGAAACCAGAATAGAAAGCAGCTGCTCTGCTGATGGAGGACAAGGACCAGATGGTTACCAGCAGCATCACTGAGGTGGAGATGTTTACAGCAAACGACTTTTATCTAGGAGTTATATGACAAGAGAGGAAAACAACTAATTTATGATCAAGTATTCCAGAAAATCCTCATCATGTACCTTTTACTGCTGGGTTGACCCCAGTATGTACTTTTTTAAAGTATATTTTATTCTCCATTTATCCCGCTTCAGAGAAATCAGACTCATTTCTTTTGTTATCCAAGAAGCTTCAAAGACTAAGAACCAGGAAACAAGGACGAAGATCCGGCTCCAATTCTGGTTTTGGGGCCTGGTGCAGAATATTTGTGTTTATCTGTTTGAATTTGCAGTTTTAGCTATGGTTTTAGTGTTTTTTTTTTATCTTTGTTTGGTTTTTAGTTTGTTGTAATTGCCTGTGCAGCACTTTGGACAGCTCTCATGCTGTATTTTAAATGTGCTATACAAATAAAACAGTATAGTATGTAATGTCTGGTTCTTGCAAGGCTCTGGCCCGCAGAAGCAGATTTTATTAGGTAGTTTTGGCCATTTTTCCATGCACTGACAAAAATATTCAGATTTTATCTACCATTGGATGAAATTACAAACTGACTGAGCTCTAGTTAAGGCGCTTGCAATAGTTTGTGTATGTGTACGTGTGTGTGCGCGCGTGTGTGTGTGGTGCGTGTGTGTGTGTGTGTGTGTGTGTGTGTGTGTGTGTGTGTGTGTGTGTGTGTGTGTGCGCGTGTGTGTGTGTGTGTGTGTGTGTGTGTGTGTGTGTGTGTGTGTGTGTGTGTGTGTGTGTGTGTGTGTGTGTGTGTGTGTGGTGTGTGTGTGTGTGTGTGTGTTTGGGGGAGGGTACATTGGAACTTTGTGTCCCCCAGTTTGAAAATCCTATCTGCGCCCCTGCCTATGGGTAAAAATAAATAAATGAAAAAAGGAAAGATAAGGAGAGAAAGGGCTGGGGAAGTGCAGAACAAAAAGAACTGGCAGGCCTAAAACATATCTACAAAAAAATAACCAGTATCTGAAACGGACTTCCTGAAGAATGTTTGGAAAAACAAATCCAGCCAAAACCTGATGCAGAAGCCAAATAAAGTCTAAAAAAGATTTAAGTGGACCTCACTGGGTTTAAGTGGATCAGTGTGATGGTCGTCAGGCTATCATCAATTCAAAAGAGCATCCTCTTGTATTGTCTCCCAGCAGAGGCAGACTGGCCATGTATGCAGAAAGCGAGGCCTTAAGGTTGGTTTATGCTTGACGCGTCCGCGAGGTCCGCACGGCTCTGCGCGGAAAAGTTGCGTCATTTTGCGTCATTTTAACAACCCCGCCCCTCCACCGCGTCTCCGCACGGCCCAAGATTTCCGCAACGCGCACCTCGGAAAATTTCTAACCACGCGGACGGTCGGACGCGGAAAAACATGGCGGACCAGCACGGCAGAGGTTCGTAAATACAGACATTTGTATGATTCAGCTCTCAGAGATCACCGTGATCAACATGTTGTTAATAATTCTTGGAGAGAAATAGCTCGCACTGTCGGAAAAGACGAGAACGCTGTTAAAAATGCTGAAATACCATGTTGTAAACAGTGATTTCTACTTCTACTATGGTGTAGTGTTGGGTGCATGCCGTAGAGCTCCATGCTGCCCCGTTCAGTTTGGGAGAACATTGGCTCACCGCAGAGACGAGCCGCACAAACCATAAACGCTGCGAGTTGTGAAGCGCGTTCCAGCCGCGAGCCGCATCACCGTGCGGAAAGTGAATGCGTCAAGCATAAACCAAGCTTTACGCAGAACTTCTTGATTTGTTGAAGTTTGACCAACCGAAGCAGAATGTTCAGCATCACTACAATGTCGACTGTTGTTGTTTCTGTGTCACATACAGACCACCTTACTCTGTGTACTAATAACCCCCATGCCCTCACCCGCTATGATGAGCACACCCACCAGAGTGGAATAAAGTCAAGCTGCGCCAAGTAGGTACTGATGGAAATGCAGCTTCAGTGTCCGTGAAACAGACGTGGACCGGCCATCTGGTGTACCGGCTTATGCCTGGTTAGCTTTCATCTGATTCAAAAGCTGAAGGGTTACCCTTCAGCTGAGGCAAAACCTTCAACTATTGGCCCATAGGTCCCTCTACCACCACGTGTAGCTCAAACTCACTGTGGAGACAACAAAATCTCACATAACTAACCTCTCGTGGGTGCCTCGGTGGATCGCTGTGTCAGATAGCCTCAACACTGGCTGAGATCACTTTGAGTCCGACATCAAAGCAGGACCTGCGACGCGGCTATCTCACACACACACACACACACACACACACACACACACACACACACACACACACACACACACACACACACACACACACACACACACACACACACACACACACACACACACACACACACACACACACACACACACACACACACACACACACACACACACACACACACACACACACACACACACACACACACTGGATAATTGATGCAGAAATGTCACATTGGGCAGCTCTAATCCCACATTTGTCCAAGTATCCTTGGGCAACACATTGAACCTCATGGGAAGTTACCCTCCAGGTACTGTAAAAACTGCTACTCAGGGATGGGTTAAAAGCAGATATCAGTTTTTCCCAGGGGGTTAAGAAAGCATCCATTTTTATTATTATTATTATTATTATTATTATTATTATTATTATTATTATTATTATTATTAAAAGGCCTGTCAAACTGTGTTTATGCAAAAAGCTGCTGGTAGGAAAAGGCCAAATGACTGAATATAAAAGCTCATAACTGAGATATTTGTTGTTGGGTCCCAAAACACTAAAGAACCAAAAAAAAAAAAATATCCTAAATGATCAGGACCAAAATCTAAAGTGTTTAAAACAACGCTCACTGTTAAAGGAAAAACCCTTCTGAACGTATGGAAGTTGAATTTTAAAGACCATAGTAGCTAATCAGCCCAGAGAAAAACAGATAATTAAACTTTAGAGACTGATTAGAGACTTATTTACAGGAAAACCTTCCAGTCCCATTAGTGATTTAATTAAAAGAGCTAAAGATTGGTCATGTCAATGTGAGCTGAAATTTGACTCACAGAGCTGTAGGCCATTAGTAAAGTTAGCTGATAGCAATGACCTTTAATGGATGAGAGAGTCAGAGTCCAAAAATGCACAAATGGATTAGCTTAGCTGTGTGGCACCATCC